GAGCTTTCTTTCGAAGCCCAACTATGCCCGAGGGAGGATTTGCCTTGTGCAGGTGAGACCTAAGGAAGGAGCATTTCGCAGCGCCCCAGAGGTCTGGCTCCCCACTTCCCCGTGCGCAGGCCGCCAGCACGACAGCCGCAGACCCGGCCGCTTCACGCTCTCTTGTCCTCCTAACCGACTGGACGCTTCGTGCTGCCTCTCACGGATCTGTCACCACACAAGCCACAGCCAAAAGAATTTAAGCTCCACAATTGTTATTTCATAATCCAATTTGGTAATATAAATGAAAAAGTTTAGTAAAGTGCAAGGTTAAATGTGAATATTTTTCTTTTTTTGTTTTGTTTTGTTTTTGTTTGTTTGGTTGGTTTTTGGAACAGGGTCTTACTCTAGACCAGGCTTACTTCAAATTCACAGCAACTCTCCGGCCTCAGCCTCCAGAGGGCTGGGATTATAGGCGTGTACCACCACACCCAGCTTAATTGTTAATTGTTAATAATTTTAAAAAATCCAGATTCCTTCCTAAACATGTTTTAAATTGTATTGTTAGCTAAAATACTGGAAAATAAACTATAAAAAAAAGTTGATTTCTAAATCATGATCCCTTCCAATAGAAATTGATAGCATGTATTCTTTGGTGGGGAGCATTTTGTTTTGTTAGGTTTTTTTTTTTTTTTTTTTTTTTTAATGACTGGATCTTGCTACATAATTCAAGCGAGCCTGAAACTCACGACATGGCCCAGGCTGCCCTCAAACTTGTGACAATACTGCCTCCGTGTCCCAGTGCTGGGATTATAGGTGTGCACCACCACAGCCAGTGATTTCATGGGTCCTGGTTAATTTTTGAAAAGAATTAAGTGAGGGGTCTTTTTTTTCACCTTCCAAAACTGATGGGCAGAGGTGACTGACCACACCTGGGGCTGCCAAGCAACTCTAACCAAGAGGATTCTAGCCTTTTTGTAAATCCACAGCCTTACTTGGCATGGTGGTGTATCCCTGTAATCCCTACACTCAGGAGCCTGAAGCAGGAGGATCACTGCAGTTCGAGGCCAGCCTGAAACTCTGTCTCAAAAAAACTAAAAATAAATCCACAGCTGCACTAAGCTGCTCTTAGGTCTCCCTAGATAGCAGCAAAACTAACCCTGCTGACCTAGGGGCTGAGACAGGACAGTGTCCCTGCATCCCAGCTTCCCTGTGGTGAGCCTGGAGCTGCAGGATGTGGTCATCTCCTCTGGAGAGTGGATCCGACGTGGACTGCTGACGCGGTCCTCCTGCGTTCCCTCCTGCATGTTGTTTGTCATGCCCTGCGTGGCTTAGGCCGTAGCTTCTGACTTGGAGGGTCTGTTCCTTACCAGGTAGACCTACAGGGCTTGGGCCTCCAATGCCCGAGCGAGGGTCCTTGTGCCCCACAGAATCCAGCACAGCTCCCTGGGGCTTTGGTGCTGTGCCCTGGTTTCTGTTTGCCAAAGCAGCTCTCTGACTCCAGCACACACCCGGGGGATGGGGTCCAGCTCAACTTACTGAGGAGAGACTCTCAAATAATTTTTGCACATTTCCGAAAACAACCATTTCTAGGTCCAAATTTAAGCTTCGTATAAAGAATATCCGTCCTGGTCTGTAATTTACCTGAAACACAGGATCTCAGAAGACTCCAAAAGCCAGTGGTGTCCTTGTGGAAAAGATAGAAGACTAAAACTAACTATACTGTTTTAGAAAAGAAAACAAATTTTGATTTTTACAATTTAACTTTGCAAAGATTTGAGGGACATTTGGCCTCAGGGATGTGGCAGCAGCCAGCCTGGGGTGGAGGACCCTGGGCCCCGGGTCTCTGCGGGTCTCTGCTGCTTGGGAGGGTGAGTGGACACTCCCACACACACACTCCACCACCACCCAGCTCAACAGGCTGCCGACGCTGGATGCCCAGCTCGCGCCAAGAAACGGGTCTGCATCACCAGGGCCTTGGAGACACCAAAACCAGGGCCCATTTACTTACTTTCCAGCCTCACAGTTGTGAAGTGGACTTGAAGGAGAATAAACTCTGCAGAGAATCTCCCAAAGGCTCACCAGGTGAGTATGCAACAGGGCCCAGCTCTCCCTGGAACCAGAAAGCTCCTCCAAAGAGTTCGCTGTAGGATAGCTGCAGCCAATTTGAGGTTTGATCTTGTAGGATTTATGTTTCATAAATTAAGTACTGCTTAGGAAAGCTGGAACCCGCGCAGCAGCAGGAGGGGCTCTTCACAGTTGGGGTACCCCTGCAGCCACGCCCAGGTCCCCACTGATACCACTGCTGGTCCCACTTGTTTTAGTCCTCAGCCGCACTGTGGGCACCCTTGACAATGAGTGTGACAGCCTCTTCAAAGGTATCCTTACTGGAAATTCTGGAGTTGGAAAGAGCAATCTGTCTGGATTCACGCGAAATAACTTTAATCTGGAGAGCAAGGCATCACTGCAGTAGAGTTTGCAACAAGAAGCATCCAGGTTGATGGGAAAACAATAAAGGCACGGATGTGGGACACGGCAGGACAAGAGTGATGCCGAGCTATGATAACATCAGTGTGCTAGCGTGGAGCTGTAGGTGCAGTTCTTAGGTCTATGGCATTGCTAAGCATCACACATATGAAGATGCGGAATGGTGGCTGAGAGACCATGCTGACAGTAAGTAACACTGTCATCATGCCTGTGAGCAAGAAGAGTGTTACATCATCTCAGGGCCATTCCCAGAGATAAAGCCAGAGCTTTTGCAGAAAACAATGCTTTGTCACTCAGTGAGACTTAGGCTCTAGGCTGGACAAATGTAGAAGCCACTTTCCAGTTCTCAGAGATATACTGCCTTGTTTGACAGACGTGAAAATAACGTCTCCAAACAACAATGTGGTCCTAGCCATGTCCCACCAACCACAGAAAACAACCAAAGGGGCCATGCCCTCAGAACATCTAACGCATTTTCCCTTCTCCCCTAGAAGGCTGTGTCTAGTCCACTTCCCAGATCTGAGATTTAAATATATTTGTAAAACCTGTGGTCACTTTTGTGTTTTACTTTACTCCCTTACTTCATGAACTCTTCCATGTTTTAAGCTTTTTTTTGCTCTTAGCTTTATAAAATCATCCACTTTGTCCCAAGTGACTGCAGTTTTTTCTATGCTGTGCTGAGCTTCAATGAATGTTTGAATTCCGCAGTTACTGTTTACTTCTCATGAAAGTCTTTCTCTGTAGGACATAGTTGAACTTGTTCGGTTGAAGCTTAGACCCATTGGTCTTCATCAAATCAATTGAAAAGACCTTAGAAATAAGCTATTATTTCACCACAGAGCCGCTTAGTAGTCCACTCTTCTCAGTGCAGTGTGTATTGCAACAAATCTAAGAGTGGCCCTATAAACATAAGAGAATTTTGTGAAATATTCCCATTATTCTGGAAGTCAATTTCTAAAATGTCTAATAGGTTTATGCAATTTAGTACATTTTGGTTTAATTTTCATAACATCAAAGTTGATTAGAAAGGAGGACACTATTTTCTGGACAAGAATTATCCTAATAAACACAAAGACTGTCACAACTGGGTCAGGCTTATGGGTACAGGGCCATAAGTTAGACAGTGCTGCCTGGCAGGCCAGCAGTTAGGCCGGCAGAATTCCTTCTGAAGTGTCTCTGCTGCAGTGATCAGGTAGCCCAAGTCATTTAGCTGATCTCATTTCCCAGCCGTAGATTACATGAAATTTTATTGCTCAGGTAATAACTGGTTTAATGCTGGTAATATCAAATTTTAAAAGTTAATCTTAAGCTTCTAAGTAGTAAAATGCAATCTAGTTTTATCACCATTATCCACCAGCAGTCATGGGTGATTATTTTAGAATGCTTATATATGAGTTTTGCAATATATAGTGGAATATAGTGGAATATAGTCTGGTTAAATCTGGTTTTAGTATGTCTAAAGGATACAGTAAGAGGTTAACTTATGCTTATGTGGTACCACTTAAAGGCATATATTTTTTAGTATGTTATATGAAATAGTATCTTGAGCTTTAAAAGAACGCACTTAGGCATTATAGAGACCTGAAGTCATTTTTTTCCAATACATAATTGAACTCAATGGAGCAACTAGTTCCTTATTCAGAAATGTGCACATTAATAGTTTTACTGCCGTATGTGGGTAATACTAAGCACTTCTCTGTAGCTTTCTGAAAGTTGTCAACTGCAGTGATAACTTCAAGATGATGGGATATAAAAAACTATGTGTGAACTTGCACGAATTTACTGTTTCAGTCAATCTTTTGCCCTTTGCAGTGCTCCTGATGTGTAGGAGTACACCAAGGCATTGCTGAGGTCAGTCATTTCCTGCGCAGCCACTTTACTGTTGGTTATAAAGATACATTATCTACTTATAAATTGCTTTGTATTCTATGCATGCTAACTTTATTTTGTTATTTGTAATATATACTCTTTCTAATGAAAGTATAGGGGATCTATTCTCAAAACAAAAGAAAAACCTTAAACTGCAGACACTTATCACCAGGCCCTAGGCGAAACACCAGCAGCTCAGCCAACAGTTGTAGTTTCTGAGGTCAGAACCAACTAGATCAAGGGAGAGAACTGGGCAGAGGCGCGGGCTGGATCTTCACCTGGTGAGCTCAGTCGGGATCACCATTGCTCCCTCGTACTATGGAACCTAAGGACTTTAAGGCCTGCAGGTCACGCGAGCTCAGGCTGGAGAGGGCAGCGCTGCCCTCAGGAATAGCACAGCCACGGTATCTGTTGGAAGCTAGCTCCGTCACTTCCTGTTGACCGAGACTGCAACTTCTCCAATAGGCACATCCGCATAAACCCGAACCGTGCCACCTACTTGTTACTCATCGTTAACGACCGGTTAATACACCGAGGTTCTCTGTCGCGTGTCCCGGCACCCCCTACCTTCCCTATTCCTCGGACGTGTAACAGCCTCTCAGCGAAAACGGAAGTGGCTCTGAAAAGAGCCTTTGGGGACGGGGAGGGTGGCACGAGGCTCAGGCTCGCTCCCCGCGGATGCGGCGCGCCAACTGGATGTCCTTGGGCATGATGGTGACGCGCTTGGCATGGATAGCACACAGGTTGGTATCCTCGAACAGCCCCACTAGGTAGGCCTCGGACGCTTCCTGCAGCGCCATCACCGCCGAGCTCTGGAAGCGCAGATCAGTCTTGAAATCCTGCGCGATCTCGCGCACCAGCCGCTGGAACGGCAGTTTGCGGATGAGCAGCTCGGTGGACTTCTGGTAGCGCCGGATCTCACGGAGCGCCACGGTGCCGGGCCGGTAGCGGTGCGGCTTCTTCACGCCACCGGTAGCCGGTGCGCTCTTGCGGGCGGCCTTGGTAGCCAGCTGCTTACGCGGGGCCTTGCCGCCGGTGGACTTGCGAGCGGTCTGTTTGGTACGAGCCATTGCACAACAGTATACTGACGAAGGCAAGCAACTGGAAGGAGTGCAGCGGGAGCAGAATTTATACGGATGATACGGTCCTGATTGGTCAAAACTGTGGCAGGAGTGTCCTGATTGGCTTTTAACCCAGGCTGTTTCGAACCACTTTGAACGGCCTGGTGTTCCGTTGTTTTTCGATTTCGAGCACTCATGTTGATTCTCACAATGAAAAGAGAATGGGCCTGAAATTTGTGGAGGTCACTTCAACCTTTTCCTAGGAGCCATTCTGTTTCAGGTAATGGGAAAAATTAGCTGGTAGAATAATGTATTCAAGTAGGTCCTTGGATCAGTAATTAAAATTATGACTGCTTTTAATTACTGAAACCAAGTCTCACAGCGAAAATGGTTTTAAAATAGAGAAGCACATTGGCCCCTGACCGCTTTAACATACGAACTTCTTGCTTCTGCATTGGTTGGAGGAAAAGGGATTATTGATATGTGCTTAACTGATACCAATAAGCGGTAGCTAACATCAACTGATTTTGATCCGAACAGCTTGCTCGAATGCGCAAAAATACACAGCGCGCATACGAGCAACTTGTAAACTTCCACCAGCTAATAACCAGGTCTTTTCTCATAGAGTATAGGTTTGAAAACAGCCTTGGAGTTAGGACTGGAGTTTAGCAGCATAAGTGACAAGGCATATTGGTAAAATCACAGTAAACTGGGAAATTAGTTCACTCTCTGGCGCTAACAATTATCTAAAATTTTTACATGTCTTGAGACGCAAGAATGTATGTTGGGAAAACGCAGAATGTTTTTACCCGTCTTGCACGTAGGATAGTTGCTTTATGTGTCCCGAGAATTAAGTGCTTGTGCAAATAAGACATTTATTGCCCGTACGTGAAAACACATTAATGTACAGTTCCTCAGCAGAAAATGGAAGGTGGCTCTGAAAAGAGCCTTTTGGTTAGTTTTTGAGTTGCTAATTGGCCCAATTTTCACTTGCCCTTGGCCTTGTGGTGGCTCTCGGTCTTCTTGGGCAGCAGCACGGCCTGGATGTTGGGCAGCACGCCGCCCTGCGCGATCGTCACCTTGCCCAGCAGCTTGTTGAGCTCCTCGTCGTTGCGGATGGCCAGCTGCAGGTGGCGCGGGATAATACGCGTCTTCTTGTTGTCGCGCGCCGCGTTGCCCGCCAGCTCCAGAATCTCGGCCGTCAGGTACTCCAGCACGGCCGCTAGGTAGACAGGGGCGCCGGCGCCCACGCGCTCGGCATAGTTGCCCTTACGAAGCAGTCGGTGCACGCGACCCACCGGGAACTGCAGCCCGGCACGGGAAGACCGCGTCTTGGCCTTGGCGCGAGCCTTGCCACCCTGCTTGCCACGTCCAGACATTGCAACAAGGTGCACAGTAAACCTACTGGTCAGTAGACTCGCCAGTACAGAAAGCGTCCTTTATAGCGTCTTTTGGGCGCGAAAAGGAAGCCGTGCGATTGGCCGCTTTTCATTTTCGTTTACACCAATGGGACACGGCTGTAAGAGCGGCGTAGTTTTCCCCGCTAGGCGGGACTGCAGGCTGACGTCACAAGAGAGAACTCGCCAATCGCCAGAGACTGTCTGTGAGCCTCATTTGCATAACGCCGGCTACATAAGGCAGCGCCTGTCCGGCCTCCCTTCAGTCTGTTCGGTCCTCGACCCTGCTTGCAAGATGCCTGAGCCCGCAAAGTCCGCTCCAGCCCCGAAGAAGGGGTCGAAGAAGGCGGTGACCAAGGCGCAGAAGAAGGACGGCAAGAAGCGCAAGCGCAGCCGCAAGGAGAGCTACTCTGTGTACGTGTACAAGGTGCTGAAGCAAGTGCACCCGGACACGGGCATCTCGTCCAAGGCCATGGGCATCATGAACTCGTTCGTGAACGACATCTTCGAGCGCATCGCGGGCGAGGCTTCGCGCCTGGCGCACTACAACAAGCGCTCGACCATCACGTCTCGGGAGATCCAGACGGCCGTGCGTCTGCTGCTGCCCGGGGAGCTGGCCAAGCACGCGGTGTCGGAGGGCACCAAGGCCGTCACCAAGTACACGAGCTCCAAGTGAGTGCGTGAGGTCGCCGTTCTGTCTGCACTTCACCCCCAAAGGCTCTTTTCAGAGCCACCTACCTCTTTCAGAAAAAGAGCAGCTTGTAACCTTTTGTTAGTATTTCTCTGCTTTTTGGAGTGAGGCCTGCGAGTTTTTTTAGGTGACTGGATAAAATGGACGGGTTTCTAAAGTGGTTTCTGTGTGTATTGTGTGTATGTATGCATTTGTAGACAATCTGCAAGGTTAAGTTTGCTTTGATGGAAGTCCTAGGGAAAAAAATGGGACTTATTCTTGCTGCGGTACCAGGGCGTTGATCTGACTGTAAGAAGCGTTCTGCCCTCCCGTCTTTGGCCGGGCGCCTGCGCTGCTTAAAAACCTTGATATGGCGTGTTTTCCGCCTTATTGTGAGGGCAAAGTAAATGTCCCCTTGCAGCGCTAGAGCGCCGAGCTCCGGAGGTTGGAGCCGCTGCTCATTGTCTCCTATACTCGGGTTTTGCGGGGAAATTGAAGAAGGACCCGCGGGAGCGATGAGGCACGGTGACTGCACCTCGCGTTTTACACCGAACCCAACAACCTGGTCCCCTCCTGCTTCCCGTGTTCTATTAGGACAGCGGTGCCACAGACTCTTGGAAAGGGCCCTGTCGGCCATCGCAATCCTGTCGCTTCATCCCGCCTCTAAAACCCTGCGCGAAGGCACTTGCATTGTAAATCTGAATAGCAAACTTCCTCCGCAAGACACGCTCCGAGCTTCTTTCCAGTCGCTCTGGTGTTCCCTCCCCTAGCGCTGGGGGCGGGCGGTCTCAGGTCTGGCACAGGCCACAGCATCCGCGAGGTTCTGCTCGTCAGCCAGGTACGGCCGGCGCGCGTCCCTTCCGACCTGGGACGCTGGCGACACCCCCGCTTGCACCCCAGCTCTCCTGTGCTGTCACTCCTGAGCGCTGTAGTCGCCTGGAGTACGCTGTTCCGGCGGATGGGAAAGGGCGTCGGCCTCCTCTGCCACCCCGTGGCCACAAGCAGAAGCACAGGTCCCGGCGCGTTTCCGGGGCTGCAGGGGTGAGGCTCCTAGGCAAGGAGGCCCGGTTCCTGGTCACCCCTGGATCTAAAACCGAGTCTCCAGGAGTCATTCGCTCGTGGGCGAGGGCAGGGTAGTGGGGACACGGCCAGTGGAAAGGACTGTTCATTTCTAGTCCAAACCAAAAAAAACCCCACAAAAGTAGTTCTAAAAATGCTCTAGTTTAGTCCTCAGCATGGTAAATATCTGACTACTATAAATCCGAACCCCGACGGAAATAACGAGCCTTGGCTTCTTTTGCCAGGCTGATGGTCTGAAGATTTGGCGCATATTAGGCATATGATGAGCCTATGGTTTTCCCACCATGAACAAGCCAGTGTAGATCCAGCAACTGCAACCATATGCAGGCTTTCTTAAATTTCTTTCTCTCACCTTGGAGCAAGGTTGCTGTTTCCTTTTCAGCCCAGGTAGACTTCCGCAGATGGGCTAATTCTTTTCCAAATGCTCGAATCAGCACTTTGGCAGTGTCTACTCCTAACCGTGTCCAAACACCCCACGAACACTGCCACTTTGACAGGGCTGATGTGACATTTCACCTGGGCCTGGGATGGGTCCCTTGGAAAGGTGCTTGGAGCAGAGGGGGCAGCAGGGCACCCACTGCTCTCCAGCTGCAACCCTGTATGAGTCCAGGCCGTCTTTCCCTTCCCGGCTTTGTACTATGGGTGGTGAGGCAGGACTGCTGGTCCTCCGAGGCTCCTTGGCCATGCCATCCATCCCGAATGAAGAGTTGTGCCCATCCCTCCTGCCCCACAGGCCTGCTTTCTCCCAGGGCTATCTCTGGGACCCACAAGATGGACACAGAACTCTGCCCACGAGGTGGTCAGGCATGGCAGCTGCACTTGTTAGAAAGGGCATCGGGAGAGCTATGGTGAACCCGGGTTTCCACCAGCACACGTCCCAGACACTTAACCCCAGGTGGTTCTGTTGCTCTCCAAGGCTGGAGATGTTCAGAATGCTCCAGCTGAGGAATTCCCTGGGTTCCCAAAGCTCATCCCAGCCCCCTGAACAGAAGAATGGGCTGCAATCCTCTCCACCTTCATTAGGGCCTCAGTCATCGGGTTGGAGCCCTGTGAATGCAACCTGTGCATGTGTATGTGTGTGCGTGAGTGTGCATATGTGTGTGTGTATGTCAGAGAGAGAGAGAGAACAGTGCAGTTCCAGGAATGAACTCCAGTCCTGTGGTGTGTGAGTAAGTGGAACTGTCCCTTAGGAAGGGAACCAAGGGTTGAACTTGATAACATTATGTAACATTTTAGTCAGATTACTGGCTGGAACTGTAATCTTTGCTTGCTTTCACAGGGCATGAAACAACTGGTCTGTCAGAAAATGTATTACAGATTTACCTGTTGGTCCCTTTGATCTGTGTCATTTGCCTAAAACATGCTTGTCACTTGCTCAGTTTTTACAATTTGAGATTCAAATGTGCTCCTTGATTATTGAACAGGTTGAGAAAAAACCATTTAGGGCATAATCCTGAACTCTCATTAGATGTGGTGTCCGGAATGGGTAACTTCACAAATGCACATGCTCAGGCTTGCTGCTCTAGGGACCTTTTTAAATTTATTTTTTATTATTTTTCATCCTGTGGTTCTTTATACACTGTTGGCTCAAGTTCTCCATCAAATGGGGGTACCAGCACCAGATGATGGAGCTCCTATGCAACCTTTTACTCTTTTTACACTTAATTTGTGGCTTGATTACAAGAGGGTGTAAAATGACTTTAAAAGTCTCTAAGCTATAGATATCCTGGTTCTACAGTTGGCTTTTGAGCACGCCAACCACAATTGCCAACAAGCTATTAACCAGTCAAGCTGGCTGATGATATAGGGGTATATGTTAAAGTGAGCCAAAACATCGGGTCACCTTCTTACAATCCCACGTTGATGGCCCAGTCTGTTTCCTGGCAAACCCAATAAGATTTTCTAATTAAGAGATGCTCTTGAAGAAACAAAAGTTTACATATGGTTCTGACAATTTATTACTACTAATCTCATGGTACCTCGAATGCATGCCTGCCTTCCAGACATTCAGTCTGATGAAATGTAAAACTGGGGTTATTTATAGTGATAACCTTTTTTAGATTCAGAAATCTGCCCTTTTCTTGTGCTTCAGCTACTTACGATGAGATATATGTTAAATCAACATGAGATTACCAGTCGTGAGATTATCTTTAAAAACTTTATATGATCTGTGTTATATGTATCACTCCGTTCTATACTATGGATAGACATTTAACTATGTTGCACAAATGCTAAAATACTATTTATGGCTTTTTATCTCAAGTTTTCTCTGTAAACTTTATAGCTGTTATACCAACACAAGTGATAAGAAATGACAATCCCTGGCTATATTTTATATTTTAAAGTACTTGATATCCAGATAAAATTATAATAGTTAAACTCAGTAGTTCCACTACCATACTGTTTCTGAGGTTATACAAGACAAAAAAGGCCATCTTATGCAACAACATTGTGTATCAGCCTTTGCCTGCCTCTAAAGACATAGTGACCTGCTTATATTAGCAGACCCACTAACAATGATTCCAGCTTTGGGGAATTATGCATGTGACTTGAATTCCCTATGATCCTAGGGACAAGCAGTTATTGAAAGATGTTTTAACCTTAAAACAACAATTAATAAAACAAAAAAGCAAAAGCCAGACAATCCAGATGTTGCCACAGATGCAACTACATTTGGCAATTTACGTTTCCCATTTCTTAAATCCAGCTCATAGGCCCTCAGCGCCCCCTCCATGCTTCACTGACAAAGTTCTTGCTTTCCAAGAGTGGACATAGGCCCTGGGTCTCATCTTCACATGGCTCCACAGACAGGTGACCACTAGGGAGGAAGTGTTGGGCGCAGGCGCTCAACATACCATACCCCACCCGGGACTAAGGACCACGCCAGCTTCCGCAATGCGCTACGTCCCTCTTTAAATTAGCCAACCCGTGCGCACTTCGTGCTCACTCCGTACTCTGTGGCAACTCCTGATTGGCCACAGCTGGATATAATAGCCGGAGCCTACATCCCATTCCCGCCCTGCTTCCTTGTGGCAGCCTGTGATTGGTCACGGCCGAATATATAAACCAGAGCCCGCCTAAATAAACTAGCAGTTAACTGTCGTCCACAAAAGCGTCTCCTGTCTCCTGTTTCATTGGAGCTGCGCCGGTCAACTGGTGGCCCGTACGGGGAGCCCGGAGCACTGAGACCCTCTCTCCGACAGGACGAGGAGAGCTGAGACCCTCTCTCCAATGGAACAGAGACATTAACAGGTAAAACCGTCAAGCGCTGATAGCGGGGGCTACTCGGCGGGCGAGGGCTGACAGGTTAAACTGCTCAACGTTGGTAGCGGGGGCTGCGGGCCGGATAGCAGGGGCTATCGGGCAACCTTGGGCGGACGCGTCGCAAGGGTCAGGAACTCGTAAAGAGAGTTCCGGGGGCCGAAAAGAGGCAGGTTTTGGGGGCGCCGTAAAGGGGCGCGGGGACTAAGCTGTCCCTGTATAAAAAAAAAAAAAAAAAAAAAAAAAAGGAAAAAAAAATAAAATAAAATAAAAAGAAACTCTTGAAATTCCGGTTAACATGGGTAACACGGCTACTCAGCCACTGTCAGTCGCCTTAAGCGACTTACTGAGAGAAAAGGGATTACAAATGAAACAAGAACAAATTCAAAACTTCCTCGATCAGGTCGATAAGGTAGCACCTTGGTTTGGTCCCACGGGGTCCATTACCATCCCCAGCTGGGATAAATTAGGGAGAGATCTTGACTTTGCAGCAGAAAATGGCCTCTTGGAGCCAGGAGTCAGACCCCTTTGGGCAGTGGTGAGAAGCTGCCTTGCAGACACCTCTTGTCGTGACCATATAAGGGCTGGCGCCATGGCGCTTGATTACCATCAGGCAGAATCCTCCTGCGAGCAATCTCGTGAGCCCAGTGCCGCAGGCGAGGTGACCCCACCCAATTCAGAAACAAAGGACTCGTCAGATAATGAGGGGGAGGAAGAAGAAGTATACAAAATGGTGGATGCAGACACCACCAAAAGAGGGGAAGTCACACACACGCAGTCGAGAGGGCCTTACTCTGAGGCCATAAATGAGCTGCAATGCAGGATTTCTCAGAGTAAATGGGTCAATGAAAGTGAGTACGGGATCCCAGGGCCGCCCTGTATAAGACCTACAGCTCTACCTCCCGACCCGCCAGATTATCATGCTCACCGGAGACCCTGCCATCAGCTATGTAGCTGTCCGCAACGGGTCCAGACGTCCCCTGGGACATTCCAGGAAGACCTTTGGAATCAAGTCAACAGAGAGGACCCAGGAGGCCTGGGCCATTTTCTCCAGGCTTTTCCGGTTGCTGTAGATGCTCAGGGAAACAGAGCCCACCTGCCTATAGATATGAAGGCGATAAAGCATCTTAAGGAGGCCAGCACCATGTACGGTGTTAATGGGGCGTATACCCTGTCCCTAGTAGAAGCCCAGGCAGGAAACGCCATGACACCTGCTGATTGGGCCAGTTTGTGCAAAGCAGTGCTCAGCCCAGGCCAATATCTTGATTGGAAAGCTTGGAATGTTGAACTTGCCACAGAACAGGCCCAAGCTAATGTCCAGAACAATCAGGCCGCCTGGAACATAGATATGTTATTAGGACAAGGGCAGTATCTCAATAACCAGCTGATATTTCCACAAGAGGTGTATGCACAGATAAATAGAATAGCCATACAAGCATGGAAACGGGTCTCAGCTAGGGGAGAAGTCTCAGGCCACTTGACAAAAATTTTGCAGGGCCCGAGCGAGCCTTTTTCAGATTTTGTGGCCCACATGATGGAGGCAGCAGGGAGAGTTTTTAGAGACGCAGAGACAGCCATGCCGCTCATTAAGCAGCTCACAGCTGCTCTGGGTCAGCACCAGGTATAGTTCGTTAACTTGGCAGGAGTCGGGGCTTGCCATTGTTGATGGCCCTACCACGAGACAAAACAAAAGCCGCATCCAAACTTATTCAAGAGCAATTAAAATTAGGCCATATCAAACCCTCAAGTCTATTCTGTTTAAACAAAAGGAGGGTATTGCCCAGGGCATGACACCTAGGGCCAGACTAAATCTTGCCCTCTTCACTTACAATTTTGTAAACATCAACCCACAAGGATCCACGCCAGCACAGCTACATGCCAACCCTGTCGCACCCAAACATGGTTGGGTACGCTGGAAAGACCTCCTGCATGGGGTGTGGAGAGGCCCCAGCCCAGTACTTAGTTGGGCGAGAGGGGCGGTCTGTGTCTTCCCGCAGGAAGAAGGCAGCGAACCTGTCTGGGTCCCGGAACGCCTGATACGTCCCTGCAAACCACCAGACCCTGACCCAGAGGAAACGTCAACCACAGAACAGGGGAACCAACAGGAGCCTCACAAGCCAGACCAAGCAAGTATACCCACAACTCCCATTAACCATGGCACCTTGGCCAACTCCCCTGGTTAGTAGCCTCCTTTTCCCTTCCTTCTTACATCTCGTACGGCCCTTGCAGCCAATGACTTTTCTAAATTGCTCCACCGCAACCTGTTATATGTTATAATGTTGGGATAACAGTACACTTTCAGCTGTTGTTATGCAGGTACTCCAGTTCGTACCGGTTCCAGTTATGGTGGACTCAGACGAATTTCCTGTGATCCAGCTCGGGCCAACTCTCCAATTGGCTTTCATAAAGGAATGGGCAGAAACAGGGGCTCTGGCTACCATGACTACACTTGCCGTTGCCGCATTCGGCAGTCTACTTCTGCTCTGTCGGATTCGCAGACAAAGGAATAGGGACAAAGTATCAAACAAGCAATGCTGATCATGGAATCTGGTCAAAGCCCGGCAGCATGGCTCGCCATGCTGTGACGCAGGTGTGGAGCAAAGCATCGCAGGGGGTGTCGTCCTTGGCCAGGAGACACCCCGGTCCCCATGTCGGTGAGCATGTGGGTTGGGCTCATAAAACAATACTCCCACCCCCTCCAAAAGAGCACCAACGAGTAGTGAGGCACTGTCATGACTGCATCGTGACACCTCACGAGGGGCACCGACCTCTGGAGACCCTGCGTCAGTTATAAAGAAAGGGGGAGATGTTGGGCGCAGGCGCTCAACATACCATACCCCACCCGGGACTAAGGACCACGCCAGCTTCCGCAATGCGCTATGTCCCTCTTTAAATTAGCCAACCCGTGCGCACTTCGTGCTCACTCTGTACTCTGTGGCAACTCCTGATTGGCCACAGCTGGATATAGTAGCCGGAGCCTACATCCCATTCCCGCCCTGCTTCCTTGTGGCAGCCTGTGATTGGTCACGGCCGAATATATAAACCAGAGCCCGCCTAAATAAACTAGCAGTTAACTGTCGTCCACAAAAGCGTCTCCTGTCTCCTGTTTCATTGGAGCTGCGCCGGTCAACTGGTGGCCCGTACGGGGAGCCCGGAGCACTGAGACCCTCTCTCCGACAGGACGAGGAGAGCTGAGACCCTCTCTCCAATGGAACAGAGACATTAACAGGTAAAACCGTCAAGCGCTGATAGCGGGGGCTACTCGGCGGGCGAGGGCTGACAGGTTAAACTGCTCAACGTTGGTAGCGGGGGCTGCGGGCCGGATAGCAGGGGCTATCGGGCAACCTTGGGCGGACGCGTCGCAAGGGTCAGGAACTCGTAAAGAGAGTTCCGGGGGCCGAAAAGAGGCAGGTTTTGGGGGCGCCGTAAAGGGGCGCGGGGACTAAGCTGTCCCTGTATAAAAAAAAAAAAAAAAAAAAAAAAAGGAAAAAAAAATAAAATAAAATAAAAAGAAACTCTTGAAATTCCGGTTAACATGGGTAACACGGCTACTCAGCCACTGTCAGTCGCCTTAAGCGACTTACTGAGAGAAAAGGGATTACAAATGAAACAAGAACAAATTCAAAACTTCCTCGATCAGGTCGATAAGGTAGCACCTTGGTTTGGTCCCACGGGGTCCATTACCATCCCCAGCTGGGATAAATTAGGGAGAGATCTTGACTTTGCAGCAGAAAATGGCCTCTTGGAGCCAGGAGTCAGACCCCTTTGGGCAGTGGTGAGAAGCTGCCTTGCAGACACCTCTTGTCGTGACCATATAAGGGCTGGCGCCATGGCGCTTGATTACCATCAGGCAGAATCCTCCTGCGAGCAATCTCGTGAGCCCAGTGCCGCAGGCGAGGTGACCCCACCCAATTCAGAAACAAAGGACTCGTCAGATAATGAGGGGGAGGAAGAAGAAGTATACAAAATGGTGGATGCAGACACCACCAAAAGAGGGGAAGTCACACACACGCAGTCGAGAGGGCCTTACTCTGAGGCCATAAATGAGCTGCAATGCAGGATTTCTCAGAGTAAATGGGTCAATGAAAGTGAGTACGGGATCCCAGGGCCGCCCTGTATAAGACCTACAGCTCTACCTCCCGACCCGCCAGATTATCATGCTCACCGGAGACCCTGCCATCAGCTATGTAGCTGTCCGCAACGGGTCCAGACGTCCCCTGGGACATTCCAGGAAGACCTTTGGAATCAAGTCAACAGAGAGGACCCAGGAGGCCTGGGCCATTTTCTCCAGGCTTTTCCGGTTGCTGTAGATGCTCAGGGAAACAGAGCCCACCTGCCTATAGATATGAAGGCGATAAAGCATCTTAAGGAGGCCAGCACCATGTACGGTGTTAATGGGGCGTATACCCTGTCCCTAGTAGAAGCCCAGGCAGGAAACGCCATGACACCTGCTGATTGGGCCAGTTTGTGCAAAGCAGTGCTCAGCCCAGGCCAATATCTTGATTGGAAAGCTTGGAATGTTGAACTTGCCACAGAACAGGCCCAAGCTAATGTCCAGAACAATCAGGCCGCCTGGAACATAGATATGTTATTAGGACAAGGGCAGTATCTCAATAACCAGCTGATATTTCCACAAGAGGTGTATGCACAGATAAATAGAATAGCCATACAAGCATGGAAACGGGTCTCAGCTAGGGGAGAAGTCTCAGGCCACTTGACAAAAATTTTGCAGGGCCCGAGCGAGCCTTTTTCAGATTTTGTGGCCCACATGATGGAGGCAGCAGGGAGAGTTTTTAGAGACGCAGAGACAGCCATGCCGCTCATTAAGCAGCTCACAGCTGCTCTGGGTCAGCACCAGGTATAGTTCGTTAACTTGGCAGGAGTCGGGGCTTGCCATTGTTGATGGCCCTACCACGAGACAAAACAAAAGCCGCATCCAAACTTATTCAAGAGCAATTAAAATTAGGCCATATCAAACCCTCAAGTCTATTCTGTTTAAACAAAAGGAGGGTATTGCCCAGGGCATGACACCTAGGGCCAGACTAAATCTTGCCCTCTTCACTTACAATTTTGTAAACATCAACCCACAAGGATCCACGCCAGCACAGCTACATGCCAACCCTGTCGCACCCAAACATGGTTGGGTACGCTGGAAAGACCTCCTGCATGGGGTGTGGAGAGGCCCCAGCCCAGTACTTAGTTGGGCGAGAGGGGCGGTCTGTGTCTTCCCGCAGGAAGAAGGCAGCGAACCTGTCTGGGTCCCGGAACGCCTGATACGTCCCTGCAAACCACCAGACCCTGACCCAGAGGAAACGTCAACCACAGAACAGGGGAACCAACAGGAGCCTCACAAGCCAGACCAAGCAAGTATACCCACAACTCCCATTAACCATGGCACCTTGGCCAACTCCCCTGGTTAGTAGCCTCCTTTTCCCTTCCTTCTTACATCTCGTACGGCCCTTGCAGCCAATGACTTTTCTAAATTGCTCCACCGCAACCTGTTATATGTTATAATGTTGGGATAACAGTACACTTTCAGCTGTTGTTATGCAGGTACTCCAGTTCGTACCGGTTCCAGTTATGGTGGACTCAGACGAATTTCCTGTGATCCAGCTCGGGCCAACTCTCCAATTGGCTTTCATAAAGGAATGGGCAGAAACAGGGGCTCTGGCTACCATGACTACACTTGCCGTTGCCGCATTCGGCAGTCTACTTCTGCTCTGTCGGATTCGCAGACAAAGGAATAGGGACAAAGTATCAAACAAGCAATGCTGATCATGGAATCTGGTCAAAGCCCGGCAGCATGGCTCGCCATGCTGTGACGCAGGTGTGGAGCAAAGCATCGCAGGGGGTGTCGTCCTTGGCCAGGAGACACCCCGGTCCCCATGTCGGTGAGCATGTGGGTTGGGCTCATAAAACAATACTCCCACCCCCTCCAAAAGAGCACCAACGAGTAGTGAGGCACTGTCATGACTGCATCGTGACACCTCACGAGGGGCACCGACCTCTGGAGACCCTGCGTCAGTTATAAAGAAAGGGGGAGATGTTGGGCGCAGGCGCTCAACATACCATACCCCACCCGGGACTAAGGACCACGCCAGCTTCCGCAATGCGCTATGTCCCTCTTTAAATTAGCCAACCCGTGCGCACTTCGTGCTCACTCTGTACTCTGTGGCAACTCCTGATTGGCCACAGCTGGATATAGTAGCCGGAGCCTACATCCCATTCCCGCCCTGCTTCCTTGTGGCAGCCTGTGATTGGTCACGGCCGAATATATAAACCAGAGCCCGCCTAAATAAACTAGCAGTTAACTGTCGTCCACAAAAGCGTCTCCTGTCTCCTGTTTCATTGGAGCTGCGCCGGTCAACTGGTGGCCCGTACGGGGAGCCCGGAGCACTGAGACCCTCTCTCCGACAGGACGAGGAGAGCTGAGACCCTCTCTCCAATGGAACAGAGACATTAACAGGTAAAACCGTCAAGCGCTGATAGCGGGGGCTACTCGGCGGGCGAGGGCTGACAGGTTAAACTGCTCAACGTTGGTAGCGGGGGCTGCGGGCCGGATAGCAGGGGCTATCGGGCAACCTTGGGCGGACGCGTCGCAAGGGTCAGGAACTCGTAAAGAGAGTTCCGGGGGCCGAAAAGAGGCAGGTTTTGGGGGCGCCGTAAAGGGGCGCGGGGACTAAGCTGTCCCTGTATAAAAAAAAAAAAAAAAAAAAAAAAAGGAAAAAAAAATAAAATAAAATAAAAAGAAACTCTTGAAATTCCGGTTAACATGGGTAACACGGCTACTCAGCCACTGTCAGTCGCCTTAAGCGACTTACTGAGAGAAAAGGGATTACAAATGAAACAAGAACAAATTCAAAACTTCCTCGATCAGGTCGATAAGGTAGCACCTTGGTTTGGTCCCACGGGGTCCATTACCATCCCCAGCTGGGATAAATTAGGGAGAGATCTTGACTTTGCAGCAGAAAATGGCCTCTTGGAGCCAGGAGTCAGACCCCTTTGGGCAGTGGTGAGAAGCTGCCTTGCAGACACCTCTTGTCGTGACCATATAAGGGCTGGCGCCATGGCGCTTGATTACCATCAGGCAGAATCCTCCTGCGAGCAATCTCGTGAGCCCAGTGCCGCAGGCGAGGTGACCCCACCCAATTCAGAAACAAAGGACTCGTCAGATAATGAGGGGGAGGAAGAAGAAGTATACAAAATGGTGGATGCAGACACCACCAAAAGAGGGGAAGTCACACACACGCAGTCGAGAGGGCCTTACTCTGAGGCCATAAATGAGCTGCAATGCAGGATTTCTCAGAGTAAATGGGTCAATGAAAGTGAGTACGGGATCCCAGGGCCGCCCTGTATAAGACCTACAGCTCTACCTCCCGACCCGCCAGATTATCATGCTCACCGGAGACCCTGCCATCAGCTATGTAGCTGTCCGCAACGGGTCCAGACGTCCCCTGGGACATTCCAGGAAGACCTTTGGAATCAAGTCAACAGAGAGGACCCAGGAGGCCTGGGCCATTTTCTCCAGGCTTTTCCGGTTGCTGTAGATGCTCAGGGAAACAGAGCCCACCTGCCTATAGATATGAAGGCGATAAAGCATCTTAAGGAGGCCAGCACCATGTACGGTGTTAATGGGGCGTATACCCTGTCCCTAGTAGAAGCCCAGGCAGGAAACGCCATGACACCTGCTGATTGGGCCAGTTTGTGCAAAGCAGTGCTCAGCCCAGGCCAATATCTTGATTGGAAAGCTTGGAATGTTGAACTTGCCACAGAACAGGCCCAAGCTAATGTCCAGAACAATCAGGCCGCCTGGAACATAGATATGTTATTAGGACAAGGGCAGTATCTCAATAACCAGCTGATATTTCCACAAGAGGTGTATGCACAGATAAATAGAATAGCCATACAAGCATGGAAACGGGTCTCAGCTAGGGGAGAAGTCTCAGGCCACTTGACAAAAATTTTGCAGGGCCCGAGCGAGCCTTTTTCAGATTTTGTGGCCCACATGATGGAGGCAGCAGGGAGAGTTTTTAGAGACGCAGAGACAGCCATGCCGCTCATTAAGCAGCTCACAGCTGCTCTGGGTCAGCACCAGGTATAGTTCGTTAACTTGGCAGGAGTCGGGGCTTGCCATTGTTGATGGCCCTACCACGAGACAAAACAAAAGCCGCATCCAAACTTATTCAAGAGCAATTAAAATTAGGCCATATCAAACCCTCAAGTCTATTCTGTTTAAACAAAAGGAGGGTATTGCCCAGGGCATGACACCTAGGGCCAGACTAAATCTTGCCCTCTTCACTTACAATTTTGTAAACATCAACCCACAAGGATCCACGCCAGCACAGCTACATGCCAACCCTGTCGCACCCAAACATGGTTGGGTACGCTGGAAAGACCTCCTGCATGGGGTGTGGAGAGGCCCCAGCCCAGTACTTAGTTGGGCGAGAGGGGCGGTCTGTGTCTTCCCGCAGGAAGAAGGCAGCGAACCTGTCTGGGTCCCGGAACGCCTGATACGTCCCTGCAAACCACCAGACCCTGACCCAGAGGAAACGTCAACCACAGAACAGGGGAACCAACAGGAGCCTCACAAGCCAGACCAAGCAAGTATACCCACAACTCCCATTAACCATGGCACCTTGGCCAACTCCCCTGGTTAGTAGCCTCCTTTTCCCTTCCTTCTTACATCTCGTACGGCCCTTGCAGCCAATGACTTTTCTAAATTGCTCCACCGCAACCTGTTATATGTTATAATGTTGGGATAACAGTACACTTTCAGCTGTTGTTATGCAGGTACTCCAGTTCGTACCGGTTCCAGTTATGGTGGACTCAGACGAATTTCCTGTGATCCAGCTCGGGCCAACTCTCCAATTGGCTTTCATAAAGGAATGGGCAGAAACAGGGGCTCTGGCTACCATGACTACACTTGCCGTTGCCGCATTCGGCAGTCTACTTCTGCTCTGTCGGATTCGCAGACAAAGGAATAGGGACAAAGTATCAAACAAGCAATGCTGATCATGGAATCTGGTCAAAGCCCGGCAGCATGGCTCGCCATGCTGTGACGCAGGTGTGGAGCAAAGCATCGCAGGGGGTGTCGTCCTTGGCCAGGAGACACCCCGGTCCCCATGTCGGTGAGCATGTGGGTTGGGCTCATAAAACAATACTCCCACCCCCTCCAAAAGAGCACCAACGAGTAGTGAGGCACTGTCATGACTGCATCGTGACACCTCACGAGGGGCACCGACCTCTGGAGACCCTGCGTCAGTTATAAAGAAAGGGGGAGATGTTGGGCGCAGGCGCTCAACATACCATACCCCACCCGGGACTAAGGACCACGCCAGCTTCCGCAATGCGCTATGTCCCTCTTTAAATTAGCCAACCCGTGCGCACTTCGTGCTCACTCTGTACTCTGTGGCAACTCCTGATTGGCCACAGCTGGATATAGTAGCCGGAGCCTACATCCCATTCCCGCCCTGCTTCCTTGTGGCAGCCTGTGATTGGTCACGGCCGAATATATAAACCAGAGCCCGCCTAAATAAACTAGCAGTTAACTGTCGTCCACAAAAGCGTCTCCTGTCTCCTGTTTCATTGGAGCTGCGCCGGTCAACTGGTGGCCCGTACGGGGAGCCCGGAGCACTGAGACCCTCTCTCCGACAGGACGAGGAGAGCTGAGACCCTCTCTCCAATGGAACAGAGACATTAACAGGTAAAACCGTCAAGCGCTGATAGCGGGGGCTACTCGGCGGGCGAGGGCTGACAGGTTAAACTGCTCAACGTTGGTAGCGGGGGCTGCGGGCCGGATAGCAGGGGCTATCGGGCAACCTTGGGCGGACGCGTCGCAAGGGTCAGGAACTCGTAAAGAGAGTTCCGGGGGCCGAAAAGAGGCAGGTTTTGGGGGCGCCGTAAAGGGGCGCGGGGACTAAGCTGTCCCTGTATAAAAAAAAAAAAAAAAAAAAAAAAAGGAAAAAAAAATAAAATAAAATAAAAAGAAACTCTTGAAATTCCGGTTAACATGGGTAACACGGCTACTCAGCCACTGTCAGTCGCCTTAAGCGACTTACTGAGAGAAAAGGGATTACAAATGAAACAAGAACAAATTCAAAACTTCCTCGATCAGGTCGATAAGGTAGCACCTTGGTTTGGTCCCACGGGGTCCATTACCATCCCCAGCTGGGATAAATTAGGGAGAGATCTTGACTTTGCAGCAGAAAATGGCCTCTTGGAGCCAGGAGTCAGACCCCTTTGGGCAGTGGTGAGAAGCTGCCTTGCAGACACCTCTTGTCGTGACCATATAAGGGCTGGCGCCATGGCGCTTGATTACCATCAGGCAGAATCCTCCTGCGAGCAATCTCGTGAGCCCAGTGCCGCAGGCGAGGTGACCCCACCCAATTCAGAAACAAAGGACTCGTCAGATAATGAGGGGGAGGAAGAAGAAGTATACAAAATGGTGGATGCAGACACCACCAAAAGAGGGGAAGTCACACACACGCAGTCGAGAGGGCCTTACTCTGAGGCCATAAATGAGCTGCAATGCAGGATTTCTCAGAGTAAATGGGTCAATGAAAGTGAGTACGGGATCCCAGGGCCGCCCTGTATAAGACCTACAGCTCTACCTCCCGACCCGCCAGATTATCATGCTCACCGGAGACCCTGCCATCAGCTATGTAGCTGTCCGCAACGGGTCCAGACGTCCCCTGGGACATTCCAGGAAGACCTTTGGAATCAAGTCAACAGAGAGGACCCAGGAGGCCTGGGCCATTTTCTCCAGGCTTTTCCGGTTGCTGTAGATGCTCAGGGAAACAGAGCCCACCTGCCTATAGATATGAAGGCGATAAAGCATCTTAAGGAGGCCAGCACCATGTACGGTGTTAATGGGGCGTATACCCTGTCCCTAGTAGAAGCCCAGGCAGGAAACGCCATGACACCTGCTGATTGGGCCAGTTTGTGCAAAGCAGTGCTCAGCCCAGGCCAATATCTTGATTGGAAAGCTTGGAATGTTGAACTTGCCACAGAACAGGCCCAAGCTAATGTCCAGAACAATCAGGCCACCTGGAACATAGATATGTTATTAGGACAAGGGCAGTATCTCAATAACCAGCTGATATTTCCACAAGAGGTGTATGCACAGATAAATAGAATAGCCATACAAGCATGGAAACGGGTCTCAGCTAGGGGAGAAGTCTCAGGCCACTTGACAAAAATTTTGCAGGGCCCGAGCGAGCCTTTTTCAGATTTTGTGGCCCACATGATGGAGGCAGCAGGGAGAGTTTTTAGAGACGCAGAGACAGCCATGCCGCTCATTAAGCAGCTCACAGCTGCTCTGGGTCAGCACCAGGTATAGTTCGTTAACTTGGCAGGAGTCGGGGCTTGCCATTGTTGATGGCCCTACCACGAGACAAAACAAAAGCCGCATCCAAACTTATTCAAGAGCAATTAAAATTAGGCCATATCAAACCCTCAAGTCTATTCTGTTTAAACAAAAGGAGGGTATTGCCCAGGGCATGACACCTAGGGCCAGACTAAATCTTGCCCTCTTCACTTACAATTTTGTAAACATCAACCCACAAGGATCCACGCCAGCACAGCTACATGCCAACCCTGTCGCACCCAAACATGGTTGGGTACGCTGGAAAGACCTCCTGCATGGGGTGTGGAGAGGCCCCAGCCCAGTACTTAGTTGGGCGAGAGGGGCGGTCTGTGTCTTCCCGCAGGAAGAAGGCAGCGAACCTGTCTGGGTCCCGGAACGCCTGATACGTCCCTGCAAACCACCAGACCCTGACCCAGAGGAAACGTCAACCACAGAACAGGGGAACCAACAGGAGCCTCACAAGCCAGACCAAGCAAGTATACCCACAACTCCCATTAACCATGGCACCTTGGCCAACTCCCCTGGTTAGTAGCCTCCTTTTCCCTTCCTTCTTACATCTCGTACGGCCCTTGCAGCCAATGACTTTTCTAAATTGCTCCACCGCAACCTGTTATATGTTATAATGTTGGGATAACAGTACACTTTCAGCTGTTGTTATGCAGGTACTCCAGTTCGTACCGGTTCCAGTTATGGTGGACTCAGACGAATTTCCTGTGATCCAGCTCGGGCCAACTCTCCAATTGGCTTTCATAAAGGAATGGGCAGAAACAGGGGCTCTGGCTACCATGACTACACTTGCCGTTGCCGCATTCGGCAGTCTACTTCTGCTCTGTCGGATTCGCAGACAAAGGAATAGGGACAAAGTATCAAACAAGCAATGCTGATCATGGAATCTGGTCAAAGCCCGGCAGCATGGCTCGCCATGCTGTGACGCAGGTGTGGAGCAAAGCATCGCAGGGGGTGTCGTCCTTGGCCAGGAGACACCCCGGTCCCCATGTCGGTGAGCATGTGGGTTGGGCTCATAAAACAATACTCCCACCCCCTCCAAAAGAGCACCAACGAGTAGTGAGGCACTGTCATGACTGCATCGTGACACCTCACGAGGGGCACCGACCTCTGGAGACCCTGCGTCAGTTATAAAGAAAGGGGGAGATGTTGGGCGCAGGCGCTCAACATACCATACCCCACCCGGGACTAAGGACCACGCCAGCTTCCGCAATGCGCTATGTCCCTCTTTAAATTAGCCAACCCGTGCACACTTCGTGCTCACTCTGTACTCTGTGGCAACTCCTGATTGGCCACAGCTGGATATAGTAGCCGGAGCCTACATCCCATTCCCGCCCTGCTTCCTTGTGGCAGCCTGTGATTGGTCACGGCCGAATATATAAACCAGAGCCCGCCTAAATAAACTAGCAGTTAACTGTCGTCCACAAAAGCGTCTCCTGTCTCCTGTTTCATTGGAGCTGCGCCGGTCAACTGGTGGCCCGTACGGGGAGCCCGGAGCACTGAGACCCTCTCTCCGACAGGACGAGGAGAGCTGAGACCCTCTCTCCAATGGAACAGAGACATTAACAGGTAAAACCGTCAAGCGCTGATAGCGGGGGCTACTCGGCGGGCGAGGGCTGACAGGTTAAACTGCTCAACGTTGGTAGCGGGGGCTGCGGGCCGGATAGCAGGGGCTATCGGGCAACCTTGGGCGGACGCGTCGCAAGGGTCAGGAACTCGTAAAGAGAGTTCCGGGGGCCGAAAAGAGGCAGGTTTTGGGGGCGCCGTAAAGGGGCGCGGGGACTAAGCTGTCCCTGTATAAAAAAAAAAAAAAAAAAAAAAAAAGGAAAAAAAAATAAAATAAAATAAAAAGAAACTCTTGAAATTCCGGTTAACATGGGTAACACGGCTACTCAGCCACTGTCAGTCGCCTTAAGCGACTTACTGAGAGAAAAGGGATTACAAATGAAACAAGAACAAATTCAAAACTTCCTCGATCAGGTCGATAAGGTAGCACCTTGGTTTGGTCCCACGGGGTCCATTACCATCCCCAGCTGGGATAAATTAGGGAGAGATCTTGACTTTGCAGCAGAAAATGGCCTCTTGGAGCCAGGAGTCAGACCCCTTTGGGCAGTGGTGAGAAGCTGCCTTGCAGACACCTCTTGTCGTGACCATATAAGGGCTGGCGCCATGGCGCTTGATTACCATCAGGCAGAATCCTCCTGCGAGCAATCTCGTGAGCCCAGTGCCGCAGGCGAGGTGACCCCACCCAATTCAGAAACAAAGGACTCGTCAGATAATGAGGGGGAGGAAGAAGAAGTATACAAAATGGTGGATGCAGACACCACCAAAAGAGGGGAAGTCACACACACGCAGTCGAGAGGGCCTTACTCTGAGGCCATAAATGAGCTGCAATGCAGGATTTCTCAGAGTAAATGGGTCAATGAAAGTGAGTACGGGATCCCAGGGCCGCCCTGTATAAGACCTACAGCTCTACCTCCCGACCCGCCAGATTATCATGCTCACCGGAGACCCTGCCATCAGCTATGTAGCTGTCCGCAACGGGTCCAGACGTCCCCTGGGACATTCCAGGAAGACCTTTGGAATCAAGTCAACAGAGAGGACCCAGGAGGCCTGGGCCATTTTCTCCAGGCTTTTCCGGTTGCTGTAGATGCTCAGGGAAACAGAGCCCACCTGCCTATAGATATGAAGGCGATAAAGCATCTTAAGGAGGCCAGCACCATGTACGGTGTTAATGGGGCGTATACCCTGTCCCTAGTAGAAGCCCAGGCAGGAAACGCCATGACACCTGCTGATTGGGCCAGTTTGTGCAAAGCAGTGCTCAGCCCAGGCCAATATCTTGATTGGAAAGCTTGGAATGTTGAACTTGCCACAGAACAGGCCCAAGCTAATGTCCAGAACAATCAGGCCGCCTGGAACATAGATATGTTATTAGGACAAGGGCAGTATCTCAATAACCAGCTGATATTTCCACAAGAGGTGTATGCACAGATAAATAGAATAGCCATACAAGCATGGAAACGGGTCTCAGCTAGGGGAGAAGTCTCAGGCCACTTGACAAAAATTTTGCAGGGCCCGAGCGAGCCTTTTTCAGATTTTGTGGCCCACATGATGGAGGCAGCAGGGAGAGTTTTTAGAGACGCAGAGACAGCCATGCCGCTCATTAAGCAGCTCACAGCTGCTCTGGGTCAGCACCAGGTATAGTTCGTTAACTTGGCAGGAGTCGGGGCTTGCCATTGTTGATGGCCCTACCACGAGACAAAACAAAAGCCGCATCCAAACTTATTCAAGAGCAATTAAAATTAGGCCATATCAAACCCTCAAGTCTATTCTGTTTAAACAAAAGGAGGGTATTGCCCAGGGCATGACACCTAGGGCCAGACTAAATCTTGCCCTCTTCACTTACAATTTTGTAAACATCAACCCACAAGGATCCACGCCAGCACAGCTACATGCCAACCCTGTCGCACCCAAACATGGTTGGGTACGCTGGAAAGACCTCCTGCATGGGGTGTGGAGAGGCCCCAGCCCAGTACTTAGTTGGGCGAGAGGGGCGGTCTGTGTCTTCCCGCAGGAAGAAGGCAGCGAACCTGTCTGGGTCCCGGAACGCCTGATACGTCCCTGCAAACCACCAGACCCTGACCCAGAGGAAACGTCAACCACAGAACAGGGGAACCAACAGGAGCCTCACAAGCCAGACCAAGCAAGTATACCCACAACTCCCATTAACCATGGCACCTTGGCCAACTCCCCTGGTTAGTAGCCTCCTTTTCCCTTCCTTCTTACATCTCGTACGGCCCTTGCAGCCAATGACTTTTCTAAATTGCTCCACCGCAACCTGTTATATGTTATAATGTTGGGATAACAGTACACTTTCAGCTGTTGTTATGCAGGTACTCCAGTTCGTACCGGTTCCAGTTATGGTGGACTCAGACGAATTTCCTGTGATCCAGCTCGGGCCAACTCTCCAATTGGCTTTCATAAAGGAATGGGCAGAAACAGGGGCTCTGGCTACCATGACTACACTTGCCGTTGCCGCATTCGGCAGTCTACTTCTGCTCTGTCGGATTCGCAGACAAAGGAATAGGGACAAAGTATCAAACAAGCAATGCTGATCATGGAATCTGGTCAAAGCCCGGCAGCATGGCTCGCCATGCTGTGACGCAGGTGTGGAGCAAAGCATCGCAGGGGGTGTCGTCCTTGGCCAGGAGACACCCCGGTCCCCATGTCGGTGAGCATGTGGGTTGGGCTCATAAAACAATACTCCCACCCCCTCCAAAAGAGCACCAACGAGTAGTGAGGCACTGTCATGACTGCATCGTGACACCTCACGAGGGGCACCGACCTCTGGAGACCCTGCGTCAGTTATAAAGAAAGGGGGAGATGTTGGGCGCAGGCGCTCAACATACCATACCCCACCCGGGACTAAGGACCACGCCAGCTTCCGCAATGCGCTATGTCCCTCTTTAAATTAGCCAACCCGTGCGCACTTCGTGCTCACTCTGTACTCTGTGGCAACTCCTGATTGGCCACAGCTGGATATAGTAGCCGGAGCCTACATCCCATTCCCGCCCTGCTTCCTTGTGGCAGCCTGTGATTGGTCACGGCCGAATATATAAACCAGAGCCCGCCTAAATAAACTAGCAGTTAACTGTCGTCCACAAAAGCGTCTCCTGTCTCCTGTTTCATTGGAGCTGCGCCGGTCAACTGGTGGCCCGTACGGGGAGCCCGGAGCACTGAGACCCTCTCTCCGACAGGACGAGGAGAGCTGAGACCCTCTCTCCAATGGAACAGAGACATTAACAGGTAAAACCGTCAAGCGCTGATAGCGGGGGCTACTCGGCGGGCGAGGGCTGACAGGTTAAACTGCTCAACGTTGGTAGCGGGGGCTGCGGGCCGGATAGCAGGGGCTATCGGGCAACCTTGGGCGGACGCGTCGCAAGGGTCAGGAACTCGTAAAGAGAGTTCCGGGGGCCGAAAAGAGGCAGGTTTTGGGGGCGCCGTAAAGGGGCGCGGGGACTAAGCTGTCCCTGTATAAAAAAAAAAAAAAAAAAAAAAAAAGGAAAAAAAAATAAAATAAAATAAAAAGAAACTCTTGAAATTCCGGTTAACATGGGTAACACGGCTACTCAGCCACTGTCAGTCGCCTTAAGCGACTTACTGAGAGAAAAGGGATTACAAATGAAACAAGAACAAATTCAAAACTTCCTCGATCAGGTCGATAAGGTAGCACCTTGGTTTGGTCCCACGGGGTCCATTACCATCCCCAGCTGGGATAAATTAGGGAGAGATCTTGACTTTGCAGCAGAAAATGGCCTCTTGGAGCCAGGAGTCAGACCCCTTTGGGCAGTGGTGAGAAGCTGCCTTGCAGACACCTCTTGTCGTGACCATATAAGGGCTGGCGCCATGGCGCTTGATTACCATCAGGCAGAATCCTCCTGCGAGCAATCTCGTGAGCCCAGTGCCGCAGGCGAGGTGACCCCACCCAATTCAGAAACAAAGGACTCGTCAGATAATGAGGGGGAGGAAGAAGAAGTATACAAAATGGTGGATGCAGACACCACCAAAAGAGGGGAAGTCACACACACGCAGTCGAGAGGGCCTTACTCTGAGGCCATAAATGAGCTGCAATGCAGGATTTCTCAGAGTAAATGGGTCAATGAAAGTGAGTACGGGATCCCAGGGCCGCCCTGTATAAGACCTACAGCTCTACCTCCCGACCCGCCAGATTATCATGCTCACCGGAGACCCTGCCATCAGCTATGTAGCTGTCCGCAACGGGTCCAGACGTCCCCTGGGACATTCCAGGAAGACCTTTGGAATCAAGTCAACAGAGAGGACCCAGGAGGCCTGGGCCATTTTCTCCAGGCTTTTCCGGTTGCTGTAGATGCTCAGGGAAACAGAGCCCACCTGCCTATAGATATGAAGGCGATAAAGCATCTTAAGGAGGCCAGCACCATGTACGGTGTTAATGGGGCGTATACCCTGTCCCTAGTAGAAGCCCAGGCAGGAAACGCCATGACACCTGCTGATTGGGCCAGTTTGTGCAAAGCAGTGCTCAGCCCAGGCCAATATCTTGATTGGAAAGCTTGGAATGTTGAACTTGCCACAGAACAGGCCCAAGCTAATGTCCAGAACAATCAGGCCACCTGGAACATAGATATGTTATTAGGACAAGGGCAGTATCTCAATAACCAGCTGATATTTCCACAAGAGGTGTATGCACAGATAAATAGAATAGCCATACAAGCATGGAAACGGGTCTCAGCTAGGGGAGAAGTCTCAGGCCACTTGACAAAAATTTTGCAGGGCCCGAGCGAGCCTTTTTCAGATTTTGTGGCCCACATGATGGAGGCAGCAGGGAGAGTTTTTAGAGACGCAGAGACAGCCATGCCGCTCATTAAGCAGCTCACAGCTGCTCTGGGTCAGCACCAGGTATAGTTCGTTAACTTGGCAGGAGTCGGGGCTTGCCATTGTTGATGGCCCTACCACGAGACAAAACAAAAGCCGCATCCAAACTTATTCAAGAGCAATTAAAATTAGGCCATATCAAACCCTCAAGTCTATTCTGTTTAAACAAAAGGAGGGTATTGCCCAGGGCATGACACCTAGGGCCAGACTAAATCTTGCCCTCTTCACTTACAATTTTGTAAACATCAACCCACAAGGATCCACGCCAGCACAGCTACATGCCAACCCTGTCGCACCCAAACATGGTTGGGTACGCTGGAAAGACCTCCTGCATGGGGTGTGGAGAGGCCCCAGCCCAGTACTTAGTTGGGCGAGAGGGGCGGTCTGTGTCTTCCCGCAGGAAGAAGGCAGCGAACCTGTCTGGGTCCCGGAACGCCTGATACGTCCCTGCAAACCACCAGACCCTGACCCAGAGGAAACGTCAACCACAGAACAGGGGAACCAACAGGAGCCTCACAAGCCAGACCAAGCAAGTATACCCACAACTCCCATTAACCATGGCACCTTGGCCAACTCCCCTGGTTAGTAGCCTCCTTTTCCCTTCCTTCTTACATCTCGTACGGCCCTTGCAGCCAATGACTTTTCTAAATTGCTCCACCGCAACCTGTTATATGTTATAATGTTGGGATAACAGTACACTTTCAGCTGTTGTTATGCAGGTACTCCAGTTCGTACCGGTTCCAGTTATGGTGGACTCAGACGAATTTCCTGTGATCCAGCTCGGGCCAACTCTCCAATTGGCTTTCATAAAGGAATGGGCAGAAACAGGGGCTCTGGCTACCATGACTACACTTGCCGTTGCCGCATTCGGCAGTCTACTTCTGCTCTGTCGGATTCGCAGACAAAGGAATAGGGACAAAGTATCAAACAAGCAATGCTGATCATGGAATCTGGTCAAAGCCCGGCAGCATGGCTCGCCATGCTGTGACGCAGGTGTGGAGCAAAGCATCGCAGGGGGTGTCGTCCTTGGCCAGGAGACACCCCGGTCCCCATGTCGGTGAGCATGTGGGTTGGGCTCATAAAACAATACTCCCACCCCCTCCAAAAGAGCACCAACGAGTAGTGAGGCACTGTCATGACTGCATCGTGACACCTCACGAGGGGCACCGACCTCTGGAGACCCTGCGTCAGTTATAAAGAAAGGGGGAGATGTTGGGCGCAGGCGCTCAACATACCATACCCCACCCGGGACTAAGGACCACGCCAGCTTCCGCAATGCGCTATGTCCCTCTTTAAATTAGCCAACCCGTGCACACTTCGTGCTCACTCTGTACTCTGTGGCAACTCCTGATTGGCCACAGCTGGATATAGTAGCCGGAGCCTACATCCCATTCCCGCCCTGCTTCCTTGTGGCAGCCTGTGATTGGTCACGGCCGAATATATAAACCAGAGCCCGCCTAAATAAACTAGCAGTTAACTGTCGTCCACAAAAGCGTCTCCTGTCTCCTGTTTCATTGGAGCTGCGCCGGTCAACTGGTGGCCCGTACGGGGAGCCCGGAGCACTGAGACCCTCTCTCCGACAGGACGAGGAGAGCTGAGACCCTCTCTCCAATGGAACAGAGACATTAACAGGTAAAACCGTCAAGCGCTGATAGCGGGGGCTACTCGGCGGGCGAGGGCTGACAGGTTAAACTGCTCAACGTTGGTAGCGGGGGCTGCGGGCCGGATAGCAGGGGCTATCGGGCAACCTTGGGCGGACGCGTCGCAAGGGTCAGGAACTCGTAAAGAGAGTTCCGGGGGCCGAAAAGAGGCAGGTTTTGGGGGCGCCGTAAAGGGGCGCGGGGACTAAGCTGTCCCTGTATAAAAAAAAAAAAAAAAAAAAAAAAAGGAAAAAAAAATAAAATAAAATAAAAAGAAACTCTTGAAATTCCGGTTAACATGGGTAACACGGCTACTCAGCCACTGTCAGTCGCCTTAAGCGACTTACTGAGAGAAAAGGGATTACAAATGAAACAAGAACAAATTCAAAACTTCCTCGATCAGGTCGATAAGGTAGCACCTTGGTTTGGTCCCACGGGGTCCATTACCATCCCCAGCTGGGATAAATTAGGGAGAGATCTTGACTTTGCAGCAGAAAATGGCCTCTTGGAGCCAGGAGTCAGACCCCTTTGGGCAGTGGTGAGAAGCTGCCTTGCAGACACCTCTTGTCGTGACCATATAAGGGCTGGCGCCATGGCGCTTGATTACCATCAGGCAGAATCCTCCTGCGAGCAATCTCGTGAGCCCAGTGCCGCAGGCGAGGTGACCCCACCCAATTCAGAAACAAAGGACTCGTCAGATAATGAGGGGGAGGAAGAAGAAGTATACAAAATGGTGGATGCAGACACCACCAAAAGAGGGGAAGTCACACACACGCAGTCGAGAGGGCCTTACTCTGAGGCCATAAATGAGCTGCAATGCAGGATTTCTCAGAGTAAATGGGTCAATGAAAGTGAGTACGGGATCCCAGGGCCGCCCTGTATAAGACCTACAGCTCTACCTCCCGACCCGCCAGATTATCATGCTCACCGGAGACCCTGCCATCAGCTATGTAGCTGTCCGCAACGGGTCCAGACGTCCCCTGGGACATTCCAGGAAGACCTTTGGAATCAAGTCAACAGAGAGGACCCAGGAGGCCTGGGCCATTTTCTCCAGGCTTTTCCGGTTGCTGTAGATGCTCAGGGAAACAGAGCCCACCTGCCTATAGATATGAAGGCGATAAAGCATCTTAAGGAGGCCAGCACCATGTACGGTGTTAATGGGGCGTATACCCTGTCCCTAGTAGAAGCCCAGGCAGGAAACGCCATGACACCTGCTGATTGGGCCAGTTTGTGCAAAGCAGTGCTCAGCCCAGGCCAATATCTTGATTGGAAAGCTTGGAATGTTGAACTTGCCACAGAACAGGCCCAAGCTAATGTCCAGAACAATCAGGCCGCCTGGAACATAGATATGTTATTAGGACAAGGGCAGTATCTCAATAACCAGCTGATATTTCCACAAGAGGTGTATGCACAGATAAATAGAATAGCCATACAAGCATGGAAACGGGTCTCAGCTAGGGGAGAAGTCTCAGGCCACTTGACAAAAATTTTGCAGGGCCCGAGCGAGCCTTTTTCAGATTTTGTGGCCCACATGATGGAGGCAGCAGGGAGAGTTTTTAGAGACGCAGAGACAGCCATGCCGCTCATTAAGCAGCTCACAGCTGCTCTGGGTCAGCACCAGGTATAGTTCGTTAACTTGGCAGGAGTCGGGGCTTGCCATTGTTGATGGCCCTACCACGAGACAAAACAAAAGCCGCATCCAAACTTATTCAAGAGCAATTAAAATTAGGCCATATCAAACCCTCAAGTCTATTCTGTTTAAACAAAAGGAGGGTATTGCCCAGGGCATGACACCTAGGGCCAGACTAAATCTTGCCCTCTTCACTTACAATTTTGTAAACATCAACCCACAAGGATCCACGCCAGCACAGCTACATGCCAACCCTGTCGCACCCAAACATGGTTGGGTACGCTGGAAAGACCTCCTGCATGGGGTGTGGAGAGGCCCCAGCCCAGTACTTAGTTGGGCGAGAGGGGCGGTCTGTGTCTTCCCACAGGAAGAAGGCAGCGAACCTGTCTGGGTCCCGGAACGCCTGATACGTCCCTGCAAACCACCAGACCCTGACCCAGAGGAAACGTCAACCACAGAACAGGGGAACCAACAGGAGCCTCACAAGCCAGACCAAGCAAGTATACCCACAACTCCCATTAACCATGGCACCTTGGCCAACTCCCCTGGTTAGTAGCCTCCTTTTCCCTTCCTTCTTACATCTCGTACGGCCCTTGCAGCCAATGACTTTTCTAAATTGCTCCACCGCAACCTGTTATATGTTATAATGTTGGGATAACAGTACACTTTCAGCTGTTGTTATGCAGGTACTCCAGTTCGTACCGGTTCCAGTTATGGTGGACTCAGACGAATTTCCTGTGATCCAGCTCGGGCCAACTCTCCAATTGGCTTTCATAAAGGAATGGGCAGAAACAGGGGCTCTGGCTACCATGACTACACTTGCCGTTGCCGCATTCGGCAGTCTACTTCTGCTCTGTCGGATTCGCAGACAAAGGAATAGGGACAAAGTATCAAACAAGCAATGCTGATCATGGAATCTGGTCAAAGCCCGGCAGCATGGCTCGCCATGCTGTGACGCAGGTGTGGAGCAAAGCATCGCAGGGGGTGTCGTCCTTGGCCAGGAGACACCCCGGTCCCCATGTCGGTGAGCATGTGGGTTGGGCTCATAAAACAATACTCCCACCCCCTCCAAAAGAGCACCAACGAGTAGTGAGGCACTGTCATGACTGCATCGTGACACCTCACGAGGGGCACCGACCTCTGGAGACCCTGCGTCAGTTATAAAGAAAGGGGGAGATGTTGGGCGCAGGCGCTCAACATACCATACCCCACCCGGGACTAAGGACCACGCCAGCTTCCGCAATGCGCTATGTCCCTCTTTAAATTAGCCAACCCGTGCGCACTTCGTGCTCACTCTGTACTCTGTGGCAACTCCTGATTGGCCACAGCTGGATATAGTAGCCGGAGCCTACATCCCATTCCCGCCCTGCTTCCTTGTGGCAGCCTGTGATTGGTCACGGCCGAATATATAAACCAGAGCCCGCCTAAATAAACTAGCAGTTAACTGTCGTCCACAAAAGCGTCTCCTGTCTCCTGTTTCATTGGAGCTGCGCCGGTCAAGGAAGGTGTGCTCCTGTCCCTCAGATAGCATAAAATGGCTGTGGCTGCACTCAAGGGAGCCCCTGGGGCACTGAGGGCCGCCGATGCCCCTCAGTGCCCCTGGGGCACTGAGGGCCGCCGATGCCCCTCATCCCACACAGACAGAAAGACGGGGTCAGGCCCCCAGGGACAGCAGCCTCCCCAGCTGGAGCATCCTGGAGGAGGCATGGACAAAGTGGCCACCACTGGACTTTCCCTCAGGCTTGGCCCCTACCCAGGACCTGCCTGGTTGCCAGGCTTGCCAGCTCGGCTCCCTCTACCCATGCAGCAGGGTGTGGGGCCTACCTGCCTCACCCTCCTGGTGGGTGAATCAGCCCCCAGACACTTTTCATTAGCTCCCTAGGACCATCCCCAAAGTGACAGTTTGGCCTAGAACTCAAATTATTGTCTTCATGGAGGACTAAATTTGATAAATGTTACTTCCCAATCTGTTCATCTAAACCTATGTGTCTCTGTGGGACAGTGTTCCCCACCCTCACTCACAGTGAGAGCGCAGTCTTGGGTGGGCTCTGCGACCCTGACAGGCCTCGATGCCCTTCTGCGGAGATTACACTTAGGAATGAGCCTGACCTGCCTGCCTGCCAATCCAGTGTAGAAGCTGGGGACGGCTGTTCTTCAGTGCGTCTTCAGATCTCACCGTCCAGCCCCTCCCAGGGAAAACATATCACTTGGCAGGCTGGGGATTAAATCCCCCTGAATCCTGTTTGGCCATTAAAAGTCTGGCCCTTTATTCAGTGTTCTCTTTGGAAATTAGCATTGTCCTTTAAACAAAGCCATATTCGGGAGGGTAAGAGGGAAGCCACTGATGGTGGAAAATTAGATTTAAACTTTTAAGTACTGATATTTGTGTGTATAATCCTCACACCCCCCTGAATGGAAACATGACTTGGAATGAGACTGCCTTTTCATGTTTTAATTGCTGTCTCACCATTGCATCCATTCTGGTCAACTGTCAGCTGCTCATTTAGTTACCAAGATGGGACACATGCTTGGAGTCCAGGACTTCTTGCTGTCTTTTTTCTGCTTATCTCCTTAGTATGTCATAGAAGAATCACAACTAACCAGTGTCAAGATGCTGTACAACCTGGACTTACTCTGCTGCAGCTGCTTCAGCTTCAAAACAAGAAAAGGGAGACCTGCAGAAGACCCGCCTGACCCAGTACAAGCAGACAGTAATGAGTATTAATGAACAGGCACCAACATAAACTGTTATAGTCTGTCCTAGGCCTACGTGACTTGTGGCGAGATCCCCACTAGCTTAGAGACAGGTTAATCTTTAAGTCAATGGCCAGAGCCAAAGTCAGCTAACATACTGCAAAGTTCTGGTGCCTCAAAGCCAGATAGCAAGGCAGCTGGGGCTTCACTCATGCAAATTCCTTCCTGCTCAGCAGTCACAGCTAGCAGACAATCAGGTTAACAATGGTTAACAATGGTTAACAATGATCTGCTCCTGGTTGCTTTGCTATGAATGCATTGTTCCTCAATTCTTGAGCCATGACTGGGTCAGCAGCTGACCATCACTGCTCCTGCAGCCCACCAGCAAACACCCCCAGTCAAGCTATACAACTAATAAAGGCCAAGGACACCACGTCTCATGGCCGTTGACTTTAACCATCCTGATGGCCCTTGTAACTAAAATACACTGTGTTTGTCTGTGTCTTGTTCTACCATCACACCTGTGAGCAGGAGATCAGCGGTCCTAGGCCATGGCTCCAGTAATTCCCTGCATTGTCTGATCTTCCTGTTGTCTTTTTCTTCAGTTAAAAATAACCTCCAAAATGTCTTGCTGCAGAAATAGCCAATCTAAAATTAAGTCTCCTCCAGGGTCCATTATAACATGTGACAGAAGTCAAGCCTGGACAAAGCAGAGCTGTTCAGAGTGCTCCAGGCCCTGTGGTCTGGGGGTTTGGTTTTGTTTTTATAGGTGCCAGGGAATGAACCCATCACCTCCTTACTGTGCTGAATTCCCGGCCCATTTTATAATTTGAGTCAGGGACTTGTAAATTGTTGAGGCTCGGCTTTTATGTTTTAGGATTCTTCTTAAGATGGCTGTCTTCATATAGCTGTTCCCTTTTCGTTTTTATGCTTGTTAATAGGAAATTCCTTGTAATGTGTAAGGAGAAGTATTAGTGCTTGTGGATTTGAAGGTAAATTAAATTTCTCACTTTTAAAGTATATTCTACCTATGATCACAATAGCCAAAAGCAAATTGAACATACGTTTTTAAACAGGACTTAGGAAAAAACAGAAATGTTGTGTCTTTCTTTGCAGTTATTTTAGATAAATAACATAAACCGGTGATCTGTGTATTAAAATTCATCTCAGAGGCAGGGAGGATACTGCCTATAATCCCAGCACATCCGAGGCTGAGGCAGGATTGCTGCAAGTTTGAAGCCAGCCAGAATTCCATGGCTAGCACCTGCCTCACTTCTCAGCCCCGCAGTCTCTGGGATGGAATGGGGCTGGCAGGGTCCGGAACATAGAACCAGATGACCCTCACACTCCCGATGGAGCTGCGGGGAGAAAGTGGTAACAGGACGCAGGATGACGCTGAGGAGTACTTGCATCTTTACAAACAAATTCATTTATTTTAATAGAAAAGATTTTTGGTCAGTACATGTGTCATATTAAACAATAAAGCCAGGCTGATCATTTTTATTTTATAAAGACCGGGGCGTGCAGACAAACTGCGGAGACTTCAGACTGCACTTCGTTTCCTTCACACAGTGTCCCCCGCTGAGACCCGCGGCGCACAGGCATCCATGCCTGGCTGGGCGGAAATGATCTGAGGACCAAGCCCGCGCAACTAGGTTTTAAAAGTGAAAGAGAAAAAGAAAAAGACAAAAAAAAAAAATTTTTTAAAGACCAAAAAAAAAAAAAAAAAAAAAGTAAAAGACAACACAGTGTCAGCGGGGACACAGGCCCAGCGAGGTGAGCCGATCAGGCGGACTGGGAGGGGGCCCGCGCCGCGCATGCGCCGAACTGGACGCGGTCGGGGGGAACGGCAGGGTCCGCGCTCAGTAAGCACAGATGGAGGACACGACGGCCGCGATTCCTTTGATTGAAGCTGGGTTCTAAACGCCAACCTTGTTTTTGGTGGAAAATGAAAACAGAACATTCTTAGCAGAGGATGGTTTCGATCCATCGACCTCTGGGTTATGGGCCCAGCACGCTTCCGCTGCGCCACTCTGCTTAGCTGATGGCAATTGGCTCTGTTAATGCCTTTGTCTTTAGCCAGTTTCAGAACTCGCTTCTTTCCCAGTAAAATCACTGATTTCCTTCACTCAGGTGACGACAACATTGATCCCAACCGTTCAAAGCAAAAGTAACTCGGGGCTTCTGAAAGGAAACCGCCGTAGGCTGCGCAGCCTTTCTCGAGGAGTCGGCTTAGCTCTGTAGCGTAAGAAAGCTAAAGAGCAAATTTAAAAACTGAATTTGAGGAACGTTTTCCAGACGCTCAAAGTAGAGCTTAAACGCCATTAGTGGACCAGGGACCGAACACTGGGATCCCACCTGACAGGCCAGAACTCTATCGCTGAGCTGTCGCGGGCAAGACCCGCAACCGTCACGCAGCACTCAACTCTGACTTCCAGGAAGATCGCGGCGGGGGCGGGGCCTGGAGGGGTGTTAGGGGCGGGAGCGGGAATATCGGGGTGAGAGACGGGGTCGAAGAGGGGAGGAGCCGAGCCCTAGTGGGGCGGGGTGGACGTGGGAGGTAGAGGGATAACCTTGAGCGTGCCAGGGCCCTGGAGGGGCGGGGCGAGACCAGGGGCGACGAGAGAGGGGCGGGGAAGGGGCGGGGACAAGGGGGCGGGGTCAGGATAAGGCGGAGACTGGTGGGGTGGAGACGCTGTGCGGGGCTCTGAAGAGGCGTGGCGAATAGAGGGGCGGGGCAGGAGGGGCGCAGGTGGGGGCGGGGCCAGCCCCGCTCCTCCGCCCTAGAGCACAGATTGGAGTCTGGGAGTTTTACATCTGTACGAACAATTTGAGGCTGGAGCTTATGGCCAGCGAAAGTCCTTTGGTTGACATTTTCAGACCACCAACAATGGATATCAATATGAATAGAAATATGTGTGTAAACATGGGCTAATTTACATGCGAGTATTTTGTTTTTCCCTGAAAGCTCCTGGAAGCAGAACCATCTAACAGCAATGAACTCACCAGATCTTGATCTGTAAATACCGATCTCAATCCCACGGCTGAGTTCTAGCACCAAGGCAGGGAAAGCACAAGATAAGCCTTGAGCATCCTCAAGTGCTAGAAAGTAAGAAAGAGGGGCCATAGGGAGGGGTTGGGAATAGCTCAAAGGACACAGGAGCAGGCTGAAAGAACTCTCCACAAGGAACCAAACAAGAATAACTTGATCAGTTAAATAATAACTGTACTGGATTACAACTCAATGAATAGAATGTTATCTTGTAGCAGAAAATGCACGCGCACACACCCGCAGCCAAGCTCAGTTGCCCAAGTAACAGTTCCTGGTGGATTTCCGGTTTCTTTGTCTCCTAGAAACCGCTGGTCACTGTGATACATAGCTGGTCACTATGATGCATACTGTAAGAACCAATCAAAGACAGCCAAATACTTTGCTTCTGTGCTTTCCCTTTTTGCCCCATAAAACCTCCCTCCTTGAACCTCCAGGGCCTGATATTTTGAGAATGATCCTGATTGATGTCTGTTGATGTAAAGCAAATCTGCCTCCAAATCCTAGGTGTTGTTTAGATGTCTCTGCTTGCTGTTGCAATCTTTAAACCCGCACTAACATAAGCAACTGATTGAATACATAGCCCACCCTCATAAAAGGATTCTAACAAGTGAAACAGTAATAATAGAAATAGACAATCATGATTTGAACATTTTTATACTCATTGCTATAGGAAAATCTATTGGACACTAAATGGTCTGAAAAACTTTAAGGAGAAACTGTGTTCTTGTGTTCTCAAAATATCCTCCCCTGAATTTATGAATTACTGTGATGATTTCAACGCAAGGCAACAGATACTAAGATACTCCCAGGATGCAGGGCATGATTTCCCCTTCTCTTGACTGTAGGTTGCACTTAGTGACCCATTTCCCATGAACAGAGAATGGAAGGGGGAAAGTAGTGACATTTGAGTAGAGAAACCCATCACACCACCTGCTCAAGGTTGACATCACCAGCAACACACCGTAGTGATCCTGGAGAGAAGGGGAACAGTGGCTCTCTACTCCTTAGGTTCTTTAACTGTGCTAAAAATCAAATTGATGGAAGACAAAAGAACAGGAGAAAATTCATTTTAATTACTTATGTGCCCACAGGAGACCCATGGAGTCAAGGGAAAAACTGAATAAAACCATGAGCTTCAGTGGTTTTTAGTAAGTGGCTGCTGCCACCATCTGAGAGGTCACCTGGCCACACAGCCACACAATGGTGATGTTGCCTGAGCTGTTGTCAGGAACTTGGAGGCCACTGTCTCAAACTGGGTGGAACCACTGCCCCTTCACCTGGGCCTGCACCACAGTCCAGTGTGTGGCCTTTTGCTCTCAGAGGCCAAAGGTCCCCCGAGCATGCTGATGACATTTGTGAACCTTCACTCTGAACAGCCATGAAGCCATGATGCACACACAGACCAGGGACTTCGTTTTTCTCTGCTGTTAATCACCTTTCTGCACATCACAGACCACCCTGTTTCTTGGTTCTGCAAACCTCCCCAGATCCCATGATCAGGGAGGTGAATGTGAGACTTGGGGCGCTGCCTCCTCACCATGGATACCTGATGATGGTATTGTTTCCTGCAAACCTCGGCTCAACGATTGGCATCCTGCACAGCAGGCAGAATAGTCCCCTTGCTGGCAGAAGATGGAGCCAATGACCGAATTCGCTAGCATCCTGGCCTACAGAGCGGGTGAAGGCTGGGGTTTCCAGGCAGTGGTGAAGTCAGCGCTAGGGGAGAAAATGCAGGCTGATAAAGTTCAGCTTGTTGTGCAGACGTCTCAGGTAATCAAAGCCCAGGGCAGCCTCTGCCAGCTGAGATATTCCTACTGCTGTGAATTTCCTTTCCTTTACAAAGGGTAGCTTTTGAGCACTACCCTGGCACTCAAAAATAAACCAAAGAAACATATTTTGCAGTGGTGTTTTCCAGTCTCTACAGCCATATTTTGGGGAGCTTTATCCTGCACCCCAGTAATATCATGTGCCCTGTAATATAGTGTTGTAAAAAGGGGACATTTTGTGGTCTTTCCCCCAAAAACGTACAACCTCAGTCTAATTATGGGGAAATTTGTAAACCCATGTTGAGGGATAGTCGGCCAAATTCTTAACTTCAATATGGCAATGAAAGAAAGAAAAAGAACAGCCAAGGAAGGGTGTCGCTCAGCCCACGGTTTGGATTCTAGAGGAGCACTAGGAAATTGGCAGGGAAATCCTTACAAAGCCAGTAGAATACGTGACAATAATTTCTCAGTTTTGACAAACACACCACAGTTGTGTAAAACGTTAACCCTAAAGAGCTGCATACAAGCATGAAAGGTTATGACAAGTTTCTCAGCCTCAGCCACATCAGCACGCTTGGGTCTGACCCGTCCTTGTTGCTGAGCTGTCTGTTCGTAGCATGCTTAGCAGCTCCCTCACAGCTGTCAGGAATGTGCAGACCCTGCGGTCCTGGAATTAGAAAATTTGGCCTCTAAGTGAATATTTCCGAGGAGTACAACCTAAGTAAACACTTCACTGTGTTCGGCTACGTTGGTGTCAGTCACCTGTTAAAAATTAGTGACACTTTCTTCGGGAATACAGGCCCCTGCACAGAGGACAATACATGGTGCATTTTTCTAGAACCAAATGGTTTCAGTGCTGAACTCGGATCCAGGGCAAGCTGCAAAGAGTGGCTACCCTCTTATGTGGACCCTCGGTGCACATGAATGTGTCTGTGTATGTAAGGGGTTTCTCTTGCCCCTTGAAGTCTGTCTTGGTTACTTTTGTCTCATTCTGGGACAAAATACCAAACACCCAAAATGAAGCCTCGGCCTGGCGGAAGGAGAACCGCCAACTTGCAGGGAGCCAGCCACAGCTGCAAGGGAGCTGTGTGGTGACTGCCACCTGGCGGGCCGTGGTGGTAACGTCATCCGTCATGGCTGGATAGCAAAGCTGAGGGAAGTTAGGGAGAAAGTAAGGTCTTGGAATGTGTGAAATTTAGGAGAATCGGGAGGCCGAGGAAACAACGTCCTTGACACACGTGAAATTCTGCGCCTGCAACCTCTGCGCCTACGCACACCTCTCCTTAGCCCCCTCCTTGTGGACAAGGAGTCCAACGCGCGGGAGGTGAGCTCAGAAAACTGCACAAGTGGTGTCATCACCAACAGTCTTCCCTGAAATGAAGATTTTCAGATATTTGTGCTTTTTTCTGACATCTAAGGCAGTGTTAGAAGGCATAATAGTGTCTGTTGTGTAGTACAGAAAATATTTCATGACAGTTTAACAAACAAATTTTGTGTTTTGTTTTGTTTTGTTTTGTTTTGTTTTGTTTTGTTTTTTGAGGCTGGGTCTTGCTCTGTAGTTCAGGCTGGCCTCCAGCTCATCTTATGGTGGCCCGGCTTGGCGTCAAGCCCATGAGAATCCTCCTGTCTCAGCCCCCAAAGTCCTCAGATAACTGGCAAATGCCACCACTCCTAGCTGTCTTGTTACAGAATTCGAGAGATCAGAAAGACAAAGGGGAAACAGAGGATTTTTATTCGGTTTTAGGGAGCACCCACCCAACAGACCTGTCCCAAATGACTGAGCATAGAACAAAGGAAAAGGTCCTGTCTTTACACATTTTGGTGAGAGGGTTGGTCTTTGGCAGGGAACTTGTGGTTGGCAGAAGAAGAACCAAAGCAGCTTGTCGAGCTGTGACAATTTGGCATCTTGGTGGCCCTGCTTCAGCATAACAGGCTGTTATGGGAACCGGAGGTCATAAAGCTTTACTTAGAGGAACAAAAGCTGTTGCTTTTATCTGTACTGGAACACAGAACAACAGCTAAGGAAGGGGGAGTCTAGGAGACCTGACTTTCTTTCTAAGTCCTGCTTCAGTCTAAAAGCTTCATATTTATACATTACCTTTTCATTTTAAGCTTCTTTCTCCTGAAAGATATTTATCATTCTTTCATTTTATGAACATTAATGGCTCAAAAATATAACTCCTTTCCTTGATTTTTGGATAAGCAACAGAAAATGTTTCTCTTGTTACTCTGATCTGAATACTTTTATTTAAAATAGAGAAAGAGAGAGACAGAGTCAGAGAAGAGAGAAAAAGGGAAGGAAAGAGAGAAAGAGTATTATTCTTCCCTGTGCCAGTTAGCACACAGGCCCTCTATACTCCTAAGATCCACATCTGCAAATTCAACTAACTTCAAATCAAAAATGTCTCTTAAAAAGTGCCCTCTCTGGTTATTTCCCCCTAACAATAGGGCGCAGCATCTGTCCGCACCACGAGCACACTGCGGCCCAGTGATGACCCAGCACGCTTGGGGCTGTACTTAGGTGTGCGTAGGCCACGAAGCCCACAGGACAGGTGTGAGCCCGAGCTTTTCAAAGGCACCGAGGCCCTGGGACGAACACCACCCCAGACCCCAAGGGCCCAGTGCGCTGAGGAGGTAACAATGCCACTACACGCCTTAAGAAAAATATTAAAACTCTGTTTATATACAACTTTCGTAAAACCTGTATCTGAAAAAATTACAAAAAAGACTTTACATAGGAATAAAATGCAGAAATATCTACAATGACTGCACTCAGGCAATAAATGCATATCACAGCATTTGCACTTTGATCATTTACAAGGTCCAGAAACACGGGCTGAACATGTCCAGGTCCGCATAGTACACAGCACTGCTTCATGTGTTTGGTTCCCCTCATCCACGAGGGTGGTCTCACAGGAAAAGCTGCCTCTTCATGAGTTCATTTAGAAATAGGTGGTACATTATATTTGATCTTATGGGAACCTGTGCCATGCTTTTAGCCAGGAGGACTGTGAACTGCACTGTTCCCACACCACAGAGTGTCACCTTTCCTAGTTTTACAAAAGTATTCTAAAGTGTTTATTAAGATTTATTAACATATCTAGGAGTCAGGTAATGTAGTCTAAACTTGTCAGCAAATATATCTGGTAGAAAAATATTTACAAATTTTGTTAAGAACACCTCTAAAATTTATTAGTATACAATGTGTTGAATCAGTTCATTTAAAAAATGTAAGATACCTCAATTTCCACCACTCCGGGTTCTCTGCTAAGTCTTCTTATAATTCATTAAGAGAAACTGACATTAACATAACATCAGACTTTATCTCTGGAAATTTGGTGTAACATTTACTGGGACTTTAAAGACAAAAATCTAATATGAGGCTATATCCTCTAATGAATGTCCTCTCAGATTTCAATAAACTCTTTTAGTGGTTTGCCCATTTCCTCTTTAACTGTCAATCCTTTTAATATAGATAAAGGAAGACAGGAACTCAACACAACACCTTCGTTTTAACTGTTAGTACAGCAAGGCTTTTGTTGCTGTTTGGGGATTCTCTTTCCTTGTCATTTCCGGTAGTACTGAGACTCAGAACCCAGAGGCACCCTACCTCTGACTTCCTGCCAGCCCTTTGTAAATTCTTCTTCACTTTTAAAGCAGCATCTTGCTACCTTGCCCCGGTGGAGCTTAAACTTGTGATCTTCCTGTCTCAGCCTCCCCTGGGGCTGGGGTTACAGGCAAGGCCCGCCATGCCTTGCGGTCTGGTTTCAGACACATATGCATACTTGTGAATTTGTGGGGATGCAAAGCCCAGTCTCTATCCAGGCCCGCTGGCACCTTAGGAGGAAGAGGAAGAGTGATCCCCAGCAATCCAAATTTTAAAAGGCCTCCGGGTGGCCTTGAGGCACATTCAACATTTAAGATGCACCATGCTGTGTTAGAATTACACCAGGCTAAAAGCAGTCCTAGCCTGCTGTGGTGCACACAGCTGTAATCCCTGACTCAGGAGGCTGAGGCAGAGGGATCACCAGGAGTTGGAGGCCAACCTGGGCTATACTGTGAGTTCAAGACCAGCCTGAAGTATATAGCGAGATCCTATCTCAAAAACAAAAACAAAACAAAACAAACCCCAGAAGCTGTTACTGTGAGGTGTCATGGAGAAAAAATCCAATTGTGTTTCTTAGCTATTACATTTTCTGCTTTTAGTGATACATTTGATGGAAGATTAATTGGGACCATAGAATAGGACAGAAGCAGTTAATTACAGTGCAACAAGTCACAACACCAAACAAATAAGCATCTTACAATGTGCAAAGATTTTCCTTAGTACTTTGATGAGCTCTGAAGGACTGCATGGTTGAGGACAAAGTACAGCCCGTGCTGCCCCACAGAACCGGGAGGGAGTCAGCAAACTCCTCTCACAAGAGAAGGGCACTGGCAAGCGGTGGACATCATTTCATGATGTGCGGAAGGTCAGGATTTAAGCTACACATGTTTTAGGTGTTAAAGGAGGAAGTGTAATAGAGAAAATCATAAAAATGCCAAAAATCAGTTATTTGATACAAATGTAAAATGTAGGTACAATTTTATTTGGTAGATGGACTTGAACAGGAATTCAGTTTAGGAGAAATGAAAATCATAGAAACAAGACAATAGCAGTTATAAGTAAAATGTGGGGGAAATCATTGTGGATTTTAGTATTGTGTTTATATGGACACCAAGTTAAACGGAAAGCTAGGGCTATTACATTATCTTGTAATTAAGAAGAGGGGCACCCTGGATGGTTTCACAGGCTTCTTTTAGATTTACAAATGGCTGAGAAACTGTGTGGGGCTTGGGGGGAGGCTGTGGGTGCGGGTGTTGAGGTCAACGTGTCTGTGCAGGAGTTTTATTTCTCAGGAAAGGATTCCTAGCTATTTTTCTAATCTCAAAGAGATCTAAGATTTGTTTCCCAAATATATAAACCAGCCAGACTGAGAACTTAGACTTGAAGTTTAAACAATCTGATTAAAGGTTAAACATAGAAGAATGTTTTGTTTAAAAATAAAGACTTGTATTTTTTTACTTTAAAAGAATAAAATAAAACAGTGTGAAGCCAATCAAAACAAAACAGTGAAAGTGACACAAGACTTCAAAACAAGATAATTTACGACATCGACAATGGCTACCATAATGCCTCTTGTTATTTTTAAAACAGCTGCCACACCATCGGACACAATAAAATCAAACAAAATAGAATAAAATCTATCAAAACAAAACAATGAAAGCAACACAGAACTTCAAAACAAGAAGGAAATAAAGCACAGAACTTTTTTGTTATTTTGGTACCAGGAGTTGAACCCACAACCTTGTGCTTGCCAGGCAGCCGAGCTGTATCCTTGCCCTAGACCTCGGGCAATGAGTGTACTTATGAGGTGGGAAATAAGTGGTTCGCTATCCAGCACATATTTGTAGGAAATCACCATAATCATTCTTTGAAAGTAGTGAGAATAAAGCAACCTAGAATTAAATTAGGACATGTAAACTCCTGTCTTTGGCAAGACTTACCATTTGGACAGTCTTTGTTTTTTAATTATGAAGGCCCTCGCCATCAGCCTCCGGAAAGCTCCCTTTACCTCCTTGTTCCGCAGCGTGTAGATGAGGGGGTTCAGCATGGGCGTGATGATCCCGTAGAACAGTGACACCATCTTTCCCCGGTCTTTGGAGGCAGGAGATGGTGGCTGCAGGTACATGTAGATGGCGGTGCCATAAAACAGCGTCACCACTATCAGGTGGGATCCACATGTCCCAAAGGCCTTGCGTCGACCTTCCACTGACTGCATCCTCAACACTGCACGGCCGATGAACGCGTACGAGACAAGGATTAGGATCACAGGGATCAGAAGGAAGAGCACGCTGATGAAGAAGAGCTCGGCCTCGTTGGCTGTCGTGTCCACACAGGACAACTTGAGCAGAGCGGGGACCTCGCAGAAGAAATGGTCCACCTCTCTGTGACCACACAGCGGCATCTGCAGGGTCCAGGTGGACTGCAGCAGTGAGTTGCTGAAGCCACTGAGCCAGGAGGCAGCCGCCAGCTGCAGGCACAGCCTCTGGTGCATGATGACCGAGTAGTGCAGAGGCCGGCAGATGGCCACGAACCTGTCGAAGGACATGACACCCAGGAGCAGGCACTCAGTGGAGCCCAAGGCCAGGAAGATGAAGAGCTGGGCCACGCAGCCACCGTAGCTGATCACCTTCCGGGAGCTGCAGATGTTCACCAGCATCTGGGGCACGGTGCTCGTGGTGTAGCAGAGGTCCAGCAGCGAGAGGTTGGTGAGGAAGAAGTACATGGGGGTGTGGAGCTTGGCGTCCAGACGCGACACCAGAATGATGGCCGTGTTGCCAAAGATGGTGAGGACATAGGAAACCAGGAACACCACGAAAAGCGGCAGCGCCAGCCATGGCCGGTCCGAAAAGCCCAACAGAACGAACTCCCGGGGGATACTGTCATTTACCCAATTCATAGCAAAGCGGTCAACTTTCGGTGCCCTGAAATACAAAGAAGAGAAACAGTAAGTTAAACATGCATGTATTAATATTTTGCTAGCAATTTGCATAAATTTACAAATTATCTCTATTACTGGTGTGAAAAATGCACATTAGTTAAAATGTATCTAAGTGTTTCAAAAGTATTCATAAGCCAGGTATATCTGACCCAGGGCCATGATCTCAGCTCTCAGGAGGCTGAGGTAGGAGGGTCTGGGCGCTTAGCAAGACCCTGACTCTCAGTAGTAGAACAGTCTTGGATTCAACTCCCAGAACTGAAAAAAAAGTGTTTGTGTGTTTGTAACAGCTTTTTAGCAAATGAGCTGCAAAAGTCTTAAAGCACATGAATCAGTTTCTTCACTCACGGGATGCAGTCCTTGGTATTTTGTTTTGAAAATGCACTGTCTCCCTTCTTCAGATTCAGACAGTGTCCCGCTGTTCACCTCCACAGCAAGGAGGTGCCCTGGTGTGGGAATTGGTTAAAATTATTTAAACCCACTTCATCCCACACACAAAATGAAGGTCGACAAACGCACTACCAGACACACTGTAAAAACACACATTCTTTTCCTCCAGAAGTGTGGTGATACTTGACGCTGGCAGGCTGGGCACATGTACCCACCTTCCCTCCTAGCTTTCCACCCTGGTTCTTCTTCTCATCTTCTCGCCTGTAAATTGGAGACAACAACGAGGATGTGAGGCATCAGTGCACCCCAGGGAAATGGCTCTGGCTGCTGAGACTCAACTTTCCCATTCTCTCTCCAACTCCAGATCCATCAGCCTGGATAACAGAAGCCTGGCCGGTGCTACCTGCTAGGTGTGACTCAGACCGGCCCAAACTGCCGGGAGGACCTGTGGGTGCTGGGGCAGAGCCTGCGCACAGCCCGGTTTCCTGGAGCAGTAATGTCATCCAGCTGCTAAAACTATTTACCCTCAGAAAGCATGGTAGGATACTCTGTCTGCCAGTACCACAATATATATTTTTATGTTTATTTTCACGGTGTCAGGGGCAGACCTGGGGCCTCCTGCACCTTGGCAAGCGCTCCACCCCTGAGCTGGGTCCTCTTCCAGGGTATTTGCAGCTCTATACACAGTTATCAACATCTCTGGCGGCTCCGAGGTGCTGCTGGTACCGGTCTGTCAACACCCAGTCAGCTGCTTTCATCAGCACTCGGGTCTTTGAAGGCCACAAAGCAAAGGTCTCTGCTCTCCAGGAAAGCTACACCGCCAGCAGGGTAACTAACAGGGTTCTCCTTTTGACCAAGAAGCATTCAGCCAGGCACCCTGAGCAGAGCAACTGGGTTAAACCATTAAGCTCGTGGGAGAGAATTTTAGAAACTGCTGAGGTCTCCACCATCGTTATCTGTGAGCATCTTGGAATATTTCACCCCACAGTGTAGGAGGCGTGCTGGGACACTAACTCCGCTGCCTTCTTTTCCCCGTATATTGGTTGCTCTTTTCGGTGTTTTATTTCTCTTGGATTTTCTCTCACTTCTGAGCTCAGGTAGTCAAAAAGATGAGATTCAACGGAATCTTGAAACATCTTTTAAAACCCCCACATGTGAAAATCATTAAAACAAAGGTAGCAAAAGCCTCAGTCTCCAATCTGCCAGGGAATCATTGCATAGTCAGGCACCTTAAACGAACGTTTGGCTTCAGTCCTGCCTTCTGAACACGACGGGGATGTTATTTTCCTTCAGCATAAAATCTACTTACTTCCCCTTTCTGCAAACTATCTCCTACCCCTGCGCCACAATCTCTCAAATACCATCTTTTTGTCACCGTACAAGGGGGAGGAACACCAGTCATTTTTTCCCAGGTAGCTGATATATCACACATTAGTTTAGCAATATAAGGAAATTTGTCCTAAAAGTTTTCCACTTCATAAAAGATTTATTTTGTAGGCAGAAACCTGAATTTATGTGCTTAAAGAAATTATTTACCCAAACTCCTAGAGCTAGTTAGCAAAGCAAAGGTCAGAACCAAAGACAGATGGGCTCTAAAGTTCCTATTTGCCCAGGAGATTACAAAAATACTCAACATAGCATTCAGATTTTATTTGGTCATCTTAAGAAATGTATTCTGCTTACCTCCGACCTAAGGATTAGCACCAGATCAGTTTATCTTTCTGTGTCTCTGGTGGGTGAACTCTGACTGCTCACGGTTTCTTTGTAGACTTTTTCCAGTCAGTGTTGCAAGGTGGTAAAAATACTTTCTCCGGGTCGGTGCCGGTTTCGGTCTCCGCAGGAGGCTCGAGCCTGCAGGTTTTAGAGCTGAAGCCCAGCCCGGGAGAGGCGCCCTGGGCTCCGCGGCTCCTCCGTCATCGTCATCGATCGCCCATCGATCTCCAGGGACGGAGCCTCTTGCACTTTGCCTAACACGGGAGGAATGACATTGGGGACTTACGAATTCAAGTAAAAATGAAAGGTTTCCGTATCGAACTGGGGCTCCTTTTGCTAACTACTCAGACCCCAAGCCGCAAAGCTAGGAAGGAATTCTCTGTTGCATATGCGAATCCAGACCTGCAACCCTCTGATTTCTGTGTAAGGAAAGAGACCTCGGTTTAAGTCAGCTTCGGAAAACTGCTTACTCCGGCTGGGAATATTTTCTGCATAAAACGTCTTTTAAAATATTAAGATGCACGCAGTGTGGTCGCCGTGGTGTCTGTCACAGACCCTGAATTCGCAGCTCAGTCATGGAGGTCTCTTTCCCCTGTTCAGACTGTACAGGCCCGTTGGACTCTGTGGTTTAAAACATGGTTATAATGCTCCGTTCACCCAGAATACAATGTTTTTTTTTATTTTTCATTCTATAATATGTAGATGTGTTTCAATTCCTTTTCTAAATGAACAGATATTGAAAACATAATTATAATTCTAGAAAAAATATTTGGTCCATTAAAAAAGAAAAACAAGCTTTTACACATTCAGGGAAAAACCATACACACAAATAGATCAATAGAAAAGTGACAAATGGCAAATCAAAATGATCAATACCTCTAACAAGAGGTGATTAACTTATCGAGCAGATAAGGACATGCTGGATATGATGAAGCTCTCCCTATTCAGTGGGTTTCAGAAGAAGACGACTTCTCAGCGAACGGGCGTGAAGGGTAAAAGAGGGCTCTCCAGTTCCTGGTATCAGAAGTATCACAGGCTTTCTGGAGAGACATTTGGCCATATTTTATTTTTTAAAAAACTGCATATATTTTCAGTCTGGTGCTGTCAATCCTAGAAATTTCTCCCATGGGAAAAACCAACCGCACATGATAAAGGGACAGTGGTGTTTGTAACAGAGGTAGTTTAATGACCGTGGGTGGGGAAAAATGCAGGTCCCTCGGTAGAGGACTTACTGAAGAATAAATGAATGATACGCATCCATGTAAAATAAAGAATTGCTGCTCTAGCAAATGGTTTGTGTTTTCTTGAGGTATTATTGCAAAGAAAAAAGCAAAAAAGTACACAAAATGGTCCTAATGTTATGAAGTAATTCTTTAAATCACCCCAAATATGATTTTATGTAATTACGTCTGTCTGAGGTTGTATGGGAAAATGCTTTTCTCCATATTAGTAAAGAAGGCTATTACTCCGATAATTAAAAAGAACTGGAGAAAGGCAGAGAGGTTCTAACTTCTGGAGAAGGAGACAGGGGAGGAGACTAGGACCTACAATAAAAACTGGGAAAGAAGGCAAAGTAAGATTTCACATAATACTTACAATGTTTAACTGCAGTGACAGTGGTTGTCTCTGGGTAGGATAGTAGAAATAAAAGTGCGAATGATTGTGCCTATGTTTGAAATGGTTTTAAGGTACTTTTTAACAAGTACAATTTCAGTAAACAAAACTATAGGGAAAAAATGACTAAGCAAAATGGATATTCTGTGAAATAGACCGATCAATGGAAGTTATTTCAAAAATCCTTAAATTTAAAAACCATGGAGTGATGCCCACGTGTCCTAATCCAGGAGGCAGGGGAATTCTCAGTTTATTACTGCTGGCCAGACACCGTGTCAGATCCTTCAAAAGGATTCCTTCCCACGTCTGCCCTGAGAATGGCAACTCACGGTCCCCATTCCGTGCACGCAGACACTGAGACTCAGAGAAGTTAAAGCAGTACAGCTTAGGAAAAGACGTGCAGAAGTTTGCTTTTGTCTGCTTTTTCTCCTTTTCACTGTTACCCAGAGTCCCTGCGGGGAAGGCACCCATTTATTCCGAGGTCTGCTCACCCGCATTGCTGTCTTTTCTTCTTTCTGATGATAAGGCCTTTGTAACACCCAGTTTTGTACGGTATTTGTGACCTTCCAGGGGAGCAGTGTTAGGGATTAAGAGCAGTCCGTACTGAACTCCATGCCCGGCCGCTGCCCCCTCCACTTTTTCCTTTTTTAAGTTTGAGATGGGTCTCCCCGAGTCACTGAACTGCCCAGGCTGAGCTCAGGTTTGCCATCCTCCTGCCTCAGCCACCCAGAGTGCTGAGATCACAGGCATGGGCCACGCATCCCACTCACCTTTTGTAAAATGGAAAACATTCACTATTAGAACCAAATGTTGCTATGTTAAAGTAGACAAACTAGCTGTATGTTCTGTAAGAAAGATATAACTGTGAAGGCTGGAAATGATGACTTACCTGGGAGGAACTGGAGCTGGGGTAAGAACATGTCCAATTTTTTATTAGCACTTAAAATGACTCAGTGTTAAAGTCCTAAGTGACAGGTAGAATTCTAAGGAATCAAAGGAAATGCTAAAGCTTGCTGCAAGCTAGGAGCGACAGTCCTGACGATGATTTCTCCACCTTGTCCCACCGTGTTGCCAAAAGAAATTAAGACTATGAATGCCTGCAGTACAAAGAATCAGGTCTACATTCGTGCTTGTGTGTGTGTGTATCTGCGTGTCCAGGAAGCAGGGGACACATACAGGTTTATCTGTAAATTGTTTGAAACATTTGTAAGTTGTGGACGAAATGTCTACAGACCCGAAATTGTTCAGAGTGTGGAAATAAGAACATTCTTCTGGCACATTTCTGGTTTAACTGAAATGAAAGCCGGGACGATACTGCCATCCAATCTGTCTGACGTATTTAAATTCTGTCAGCTACCCTAGGGCAATCGAGTGTCTTTAAAATCATCTTTTTTGTCCAATCCAGGATCCAGCCCAGAATTATGGGCTGCATTTAGTTTCCCCATATCTGGAGTTCTTTAGTTTTTCTCTGGTCATTCATGATAATCACATTGTTCAAGAGTGTAGGCTTGTCACTCAGTAGAATATCTCTCAATTTGAGATGGATTTTTATGATTATTCATGATTTATTTTTTATGTATTTTACTTTATGTTATTTTATTTATTTTTTGTCTTTTTGAGACAAAGTCTCACTGCAGTTCAGGCTGGCCTTGAGCTCACTTTGTAGCTCAGGCTGGTCTCCAATTTGCAATGATCCTCCTGCCTCAGCCTCCCAGGTATTGGAATTACAGGCATGCGCCAGCACATCCAAATTATTATCCACCACACCCAACTAATTATTATTAGTATTATTATTATTTTGTACCAAGATTCAAACTCATGACTGTGCACTTGCCAGGCAGGCGCTCTGTGCCACTGAGCTATATCCTCACCCAATTACTCAAATTCCAGAGGAATATCCCAGGAATGTTGTCTCCTCATTTATCAAGAAGTACATGATGTTCTTGTGTCTCATTAGTGGAGATTTTGAATTTTACTACCTGGTTTACAAAGTGTCTGCTAGCTGGGCCTGGTGTGCACAGCTATAATCCCAGCACTTGGGAGGCTGAGGCAGGAGTTCAAGGCCAGCCAGGGCTATTTAGTGAGTTCAAGGCTAGCCTGGACTATAATAACAAGAACCTGTTTCAAAAAAAAGAAAGAAAAAGGAAAATAAAAGCAAGAAAGAAAAAAGTGTCTAGTAAATTTGTCCACTCTAAGATTAATTAATAAATAAGTTACATTTCTTAGCTGAGGAGTATCCTAAACTGGGTTCCTTTGGTTATCCTTATCTTATTGAAGATTCCTATTGAGTTGCAGCATCCATTGGTTCTCACCTAAATCACATCATTTATTACAGTGCTGCTTTTAAAGTGGTGATTTTCTAATCTCACCATTGATTTTTCCATTGTGAATAGCTGGGATTCTGCTGAATATCACATAACTTACTGACAAGTTTTAAGCAGTACAGGCTCGTGGGTATCTTGCAGGACTGAGCAACATACCTAGCTTTGGTTTTTATTTATTCTGAGATAGGTCTTGCTGAGTCAATAGATTGCCCAGGCTGGGCTGGAATTTTGATCCTCCTTCCTTAGCCTCCCAGAATGCTAAAATTATCACCACACTCAGCAGACTCATGTCTTCTTATTTCTTTTGATTGGCTGTAACCAGTTTTTACTTTGATGCTCAAATTTCCCCAAATTGGACAAACGGAAGTCCTTTTCATCTGGCTCCACATCCCTCTTGACACAGAGTGTGACCGTGGTGGTGGAGGGGATGAGTGAGTACTTGGGGGAAAGACTTAGTTCAGGTACCAAGAGAAGAGGTCCGAGAGCGGCTATCTCAGCCAAGAGTCCCAGCATCAGGGAGACTCCCAGGACCAAGCCCTGAAGCCAAGAACTCTCCAGCTGCTATTTAGAATATCAGTACAACTGAAAAACACCGAACAAACAGCTTTGGCAAGGACACTTCTCAAGGCTGCGGTTCTCTAGGGTAAAGGGGAAGGACAACAGCCAGACACAACATGCCTCGCTGATCTGAACTTCTTGTGTTTAATCGTTCGCGTCTCCAAGAGCCTGATTGCACTGCAGTTCAGCCACTCTGTCTTCAGCCAAGTGCCCTGCCTCCCTGTCCTCTCCCTTCTGCTAGCACTGGTGCAGAGCCCCGCAGCAGGCCCCAGTCTCCTGCCAGGCATTATGGTGCATGGCAGGAGGAAAGAACACGAGACAAAACGGCGGTGCAGTGGGGATCGTGGGTGACCAGCTGTTCCCAGAGCAAAAGGCCACAAGGCAGCCGGAACCTCAGTATTTACTGATTGAGGAAAGTCAGCGTGAGGAGATTATTGGATGGCTCAGAGGGAGCCGGTGATTTTAAACTACTGAGGCTCCTGCCCAAAGCATCTTTAGTCTTAGTAGACTTAGTGTTTTCAGCTTAGTCTTAGCAGGCTTAGTCTTCATATTAGTAGGTGGGAGGAGACAGCCCAGCCCTAATGCGATCATGGGAAATCTCAGAAGGAGGGAACCAATAATCCCTAGCCTCTGTTCTCCCTTAGGGAAGGATGTGAAACTAGCCATTGTGAGTTTGTGGCTGCCAACACAGCACTTCATTAATTTCAGCACAATAAAATGTGCCCAAAATAGTGATTTCTCCAAACAGCCCTTGTTTCTTTCTGAGAAGAATGGAAATTAGGAACCATGATTTAGTGCATGGTATGCTCATTTCTATTTCATATTCAGAGGGTAGACATTGTATCTCGCGTGTGATGTCCATCTACCTATCTTAAACACTAGCTGCTCACCGGCTCACCCTCTGATTCCAGCCTAGCACAGAGGTCTGCAGCCTTTCCATGCTCCACCCCTTCTCCAGCTGGAGTGAGTCTGCCTTGTGCCACATCTGTCTACTCGTGCACCTCTCCACATGCAGTCCCCCTCAACCTGGCAGGTCCTCTCTTGGGTCCTGACTTCTTCATGCCTTTGGACTTCTTGGTGTGAGTAACGAACTCTTCCCTCTGAGCTTTCTAACACATGAAACCAAGCTCTATGCAAACTGTCCTGACTCTATTCTTCAACTGAATATAATACTTTCAAAATCCATCCTTGTCAACGTGTAATAATAGTTTTATTGTGTTAACACACCATCATTTGTTTATCCTATTACTGGTGAATCTTTTGATGGTTTTCTGTTTTGAATTATTATTAATGGGGTTGTTCTTGTAAATATAAATTGCTATATACAAATCTTCCAAGTAATTTTCCCAAGTAGAGATACTACTTTGCATGGTGACTAGAGAATCAATTGCTTCATGATGTTGACAGCATTTGGTGTGGCAGTCTTTTTCAATTTTATCCAATTTAGTGAATATGTAGATTATAGTATAATTTCAATATACATTTACTATTTGCTAATGATGGTGTGATTTGCTGATAACAGCCTTATTTCATGTGCCTATTGACCACATCTTCTTTTGTGTATGTTTAAGACTTTCTTTCATTAAAACAAAACAAACAGGGCAGTAGCTGAGTATGGTGGTATATGCCTGGAATTCCAACTTCTTGGGAAGCTGAGCAGGAGGATTGCAAGTCCAAGCACAGCCTGGGAAGTTTAGTAAAACAGAGGGTTTTAGTCCAGGGGAGCTCCCTCTTGTGTTCTCACCCCTGTGCTAAGGCACAGATCCTGCTAAAATAGAGATTGTTTTATGTTCCTGTAAAAATTTGTTTATCCTTTGATAAGTGATTTATAAGATGTGTATACAAGTCCTTAGCCATGCATGATTTATCAATATTTTCCCACAGTCTGTGGCTTGGGTACTTATCTTGCTCTCAGTATATTTTGATGAGCAGAGATGAGATTATATCTTTTAATTGCTATCCACTACCTTCAAACTTATGTTCTTGGCCCCTGACAATGTTAAAAGCCTTCACATTCTGGCTCTGTGACACTGAAAATACAGAGAGTCAGGAACTGGAGTGATCTGAGAAGCCCTTTGTACACCAGGAGAGCTAACAACAGCCTGTCTTCAAGTAGAGATGACCACAGACCATACATACTGTACCAGTCAGTGTTTACTAGACAAACAGATACAACGCAAGATACACAAATACATAAGGACTCTCGGGATTGGCTTACCGTGGCCACTGACAGAGCCAGATGAGGAAGGGTGGGTGCAGAGGGTCTGTCTGCGCACTGGAGACCAAAAGGTTCATTTAAAGGCCTGGAGCTCACTGCAGGGTCGCATGCAAGTCTGATTCAGGAGGCCAGCAGGTCTGTGACAGAAAGAAATAGGGTCTAAGCAAGAAGGCCAAAGGATCTGCGCTGGAAGCCAGGTATGACATCTAAGGCGAAGGCGAAGGCTGGAGCGCCTCCCAAGAAGCGGGCAAAGCCATCTGGCTTCACTCCCCCTTAACACCATCAAGGCCACAAGCACTCTGGGGTGGGTCTTCCTCACTCAAGGGCGTGGAATTGCTCAGAAGGTTTAGCTAAATTTCTCTTTCTCAAGTTGATACAATCTATCAACTGTCACACATGCCACTGGATCTCTAATACCAGTTACTTTTGTCTAGTTTGCAGTCAACCGAATTATGACAGGGACACTGCAATGGAAAACAGTGTCAGTAAATCAGAGTAAATCAGAAATAAAATATCTTTTCTGCAAGTGTACATTAACATGTGTTTGCACAGCACAATGCTAGGGTCCTTCCTAGGACCTGGGAGAGGCTTATGCCAGTGACACAGGGTCGGGATAAATATCCCTGCAGTGTCTGAAGTGTTTGCCACAAATGTAGCCAAATCTGGATGATGACTTCTGCTTCTAGGAAAGACAGGACAGCTTCAGGGACTCTGTCTTTCAAGAACTAGAAAAGTCTTACCATGAGAAATAATAAATACAGGAACATCTTTTGTGTAACGCAACAATAACAGAAAGTCCTGAAGAACTGGCAACCTGAGCAGAAGCTGCTGGCTGCAGAGCAGCAAGATGCTGGTTGCTGTCCAGTGGTGAAAAGAACACTAAGGGGAAGAAAGGGGAAGATACAGCAATCTGTCATTCTTGTAGAGATAAAACGACAAAAATTAATCAAGAACTTGACATAAGGCAGTGTTCCCCGAGGCATTTGATAAGACTTTACATTAATTAAGGAAGGAGGGGTTTGTTTGTTTGTCTGTTTGTTTTAAAGCTCTGTCAAAGCCTCTGGAAACTGAGCTGTCAAGCTGAGTTGTCAGTGGTCTTCTGGTGCTCCCAGCTACGCAGTGGCTGGGCCTTTTGAAAGCTATCAGTCTCCATAGAAAGACACCAAGATGAGCCTCTTAGGCGCAGGTGCAGCAACAGATGGCCGAGTGTTCCCCAAGCAGCAGCTCCAGCCCCACCTGCCTGATGGAGCTCAACACCTCTGCTTAGCAAAGGACAAGGGGGACCTCTAGCATCACTGGGCATGACCTCAGATTGTGTTTATGGACACCTTGGGGCCGCATAAAGTGGAAAAGAATGAAAGCAACAATATATATCATTTGACTTCCACAGACCTTCACACAGAGAGTGTCTCTCCTGGGAGACCTTCCCTTCCATGAAAGACTTCCTTGAAAGAATAACACTTCCATGAAGGACTTGAAAGATAAGCTGAACTCCAATTATATCGTCTACTTGGGCTGTGCATAGAAGTCAGCCTTGTGAATGATTGTTATGTGGTTAATCATGTGACCATTTTAATTGCAATTGCAATTGAGATTGTGGTTTTCTTACTTTAAGGCTTAATCCAGCTTTTGCTTCTTGGAATATACCTATCAATGTGGCTATTCCTTCTAAAATTCATCTCAGTGCATACATAAAACCAAAAGGTTAGAACAGAGCGTGCGTTCATCTGGTTTCCTCAGAGGATTTGTCAGCATGCGTACTCCGTGCCGTACTTCAGGTCCAGTACCCTTACCAGGACTTCGTCCTGAGACCATTGATGCTTTGCTGGAAGGGCCTAACCATCTGGAGATGGCAAATTCCCTTGATGATGTGGCTGAAAAATACAGACTCACAGATGGTGGGAGATCATTTGTATGAAAACTAAAGGCACTGTCACCCCGTGAGACTTCTGGAGGTGCTGTGGTCTAGTATGTTAGGGTGCCTCCTTCATAGCAAAAGTGAAGGAGCTGCGTCTTGTACCCCACTTCTTAGAATGAGACCCAGAAGTAAGAGTGGGAGACAGAATAATGGCCCCCAAAGATGCTCACACCTATTCTCCAGGGCCTGTGACTACATCATCTTCCACAGCCAAACTGACTTACCAGATGTGACTAGGTAAAGATCTTGAGATGGGGATGTCATCCTGGATTGTCTGGGTCCCCAAAAGAATCAGGTTAAGAATCAGAAAAAGAGATTGGGAAATGCTATGCTGCTGCTTTGCAGACAGCATATAGGACCAGATTCCAAGGAATGCAATGGCCTCCAGAAGCCAGAAACAGAAGGAGACAGAATCTCCCAAGACCTCCAGAAAGAGCACAGCCCCGATGGCAGAGCCCACGCCGCAGATCTGATTGCTCTCTCACAAAGCCTCTGCCTGGCAGACCTGTGACAGGAAGCCGTCCTCCCCTCCCACCTCCAGAGGGATCAACATTGAGTCACAGTCCTCCCTGCCAGCCACACTCATCTGCACAGTCATGCATCTCCTAGGAACAGTTTTGTCCTAAGAAATGTGCTGAGAGGTTGTTTCCTACGTCACCATGGTGACGTCAATCAAGCATGGTGGGTCAATCAAGGAGCACAGGGAACACAACACACGTGAGGGTGCCGCCAGTACAGCACAGCACACTGTTTAGAATAAACTTTTTTTTGGTAAGTAGGAGTGTATTCTAAACTAATGATTAAATGTAGCATAGTAACCATATAGACCCAGTCATGCACATGTTTATCATCGTTAAAAAGCATTATGGTTTATGCATAATTGTGAATGACTTAAAGCAAATGAAGACTTTGGGACCATCCCGCTGCGGGCCAGCAACTCTGGCTCTTTGCCCTTGACACCAAGGAGCTCCCAAGACTTTTGATCAGTAGCAAGTGGCTTGAGATGTGCTGTGGGGACTGTGCAAGCCCTGCTGGGGCCAGAGCTGTGCAGCAAACCCATTCTTCTGCGGCAACAAATGACCAAGCGAGGAAATCAGGGAGGCAGATTATCAAAATTATTGCTTAAAAATTCCCTAAAGGAATATAGGTGTTGGGTACATGTATATGGACAAACACATAGTTGCTTTACACTTAAATGAAATTGCTCTTAAATGAATTTCTCTGGATGAATTCTGTTGATTATTTTAGTCTATCCTGAAATAATTTTAGACAGACAAGAAGACAAAAGTACTTCTTATATACCGTCCCAATAATAATGTTGGCATCTTACATACAAGTACAATTATCAAAGCATGGGGACCTAGTTTCAAAAAAATACTCTCAGAACTTTGCATTGAAGCATGGCTTAAAGAACAATCCCCTTCAAGCTCTCCCACTTCTCCCCTGTGGCTGCATTCTTCTTCTGGTACAGATAAGACTGGCAGCTGTGACCTTTAAACAAAGTTTATGTTATATTGTCCTTGCAGGATTCATAAGGCTCTGTCTTCTTTTAAGGTTATGTTATGAATTGCTTTGTCTTGTTTCTGTATCCTCATTTGCTCCATGCACCCAGTTTCAAAAGGCCAAACTCCTCAGCTAAATGTGTGAAACTAGAGCCTTTTCTTTGTTCTGAGGCCCAGCACTTTGGACATGAGCTCGGCTGGGTTGAGGTGCATCTAAAATCCTAGAAATGAAGCTCCTCTTTTCCCATTGGTGTCTCTGTTATCTTGGATTCTGCAACATTTCTGGTGACCATAAAAGAACAACAGATGACAGATCTCTGTCTCATTTGTCTGCTGGCCCAAGAAGACATGAGCTGCAGGAGTCTGGAGACCTCTGGCGCCACCAGGTAAAACTTCAGCTAGCAGAGGATATCAGCCCTCTAGGGACCTCTCTCTCCCCTGTCAGCACACGTGAACACTGAGGGGATTCAGGACGATTCTGGAACAACACCCTACTACAGGACCACAGAAAGGTTTTGGGGGCCTAAGGTGGAAAACCCATCCCATCAGGACGAAATCACCTGATCACCTGGGGGGGGGGGTGCCTAGTAATCTGACATAAATTGAGTCAGATGAAACCTACAACCCCAGTGACATGCAGAGGCCTATGGTGAGAGCTGCTCTCTAACAGCTCATGGACACACCTTCATGAAGAGCAGCTTGCGGGCGACTCTTAAATAATTTTCAGGACAGGCCTGCAATGAGACTGCCAAATGGAATGCTGCAGTGGCCCACAGCAAGAAACCCGGAGTGTCAGCATCGTGGGAGTGGCCCGCAACATGAGAGACTAGGGGATCTGACACCTGAGTGAAAAAACTGCAAAATGAGATGAGTGTGTGCATGTGTGTGCGTGTGTGTGTGCATGTATAAAATGTAGTGTGTGTCTGAGGTCACCTGGGTTCGCTAGAGACTTCGGGAGGAAAATGATCTAGTTGGCCTGAAAACAAAAGTAGTTGAGAGAATCATGGCTGTAACGGGCAGACATGAAAAAGCAGCTTAGCTTTACTGCGCCAGAGTACACAGGCGGTGTCACAGGCAGGCCGCTAGGAAAGAAGGGGAGCACTCTGTGAAACAGGGTGGTGATGGCCTGGAGGTCATCTTTTCATTTCAAAGCGAGTGTGGAGCAAGCCAGAGCCTGGAGGCTTCTCCTGCTTCAAGAGCCCCAAGCCCAGCTCTTGCTCAGCATCACCAGCATCACAAATTTTAAGTAATTGGTAAATTGTATTTTTGGTCTCCAGCTTGAATTGATGTGCATAAAGCATTTCTTGAGCACTGCAAATTCTTAAGTTTCAGTTCCAGGGTTAACCTTCTCATGGCTCTGCTCTCTGCCGGTTTAAGATAAGAACCCTGACTCAGGCTTATTCAGAGGCCTGTTGGCAGTCAGTCCAATTTACAAAGTAACAATCTAAGTGGGGGAAAAGCCACTTTAAAACCCAAATTGGTACATTTACATTTGTAGTATAAGGTTTACTGTGAGAAAGAAAAATATTTAAAAGGATATAACTATAAGAGATATACTTTTGATAGGAGAAGATTTTGCATGGTAAAAGTCTTGTCCTGCTAAAGAGATAAAAAGAGAGATAGTGATAAGACTGGAAAGCATACATAGGTTGAGAAAAAAGCTTGTAGAAATAGTTTATTGAAAAAGTGTTTGGTTTCTTGTTAATTTGATGGAGCTCAGGTGGTTTCTTCTAAAGCCCCTGTAAGGGAAATGATCAAATTGCCATAAAACAAAAATGCTTTAAATGTAATTTACATTGCAACAGAGTAGCTATGAGAGA